TGTGTGTGTGTGTGTGTGTGTGTGTGTGTGTGTGTGTGTGTGTGTGTAGGCAGTCCTTTCTGCCCTCCTTTGGGTCTCTCCCACTGTTTGACTCACGGAATCTCTTTTTTTTGAAGTCACTGCATAGACGGAGTCATGAGTTGTGACAGCCGAGCACCAGGTAAGGTTGGGGGAATACAGGAGGAGGGGGCAGCTCGGGTCATAGGATCGCAGTTCTAGAGACAGAAAGGATTTCTGAGGTCATCTGGGCCATTAGACTCCTCATTTTTAGAGTCCAGATGACTCCTCATTTTTCAGGTAAAGTGTTTGAGACAAAGAAAATTGAAAAGATTTGCCCAAGGCCAAATAAGTAGTTAGGGGCAGAACTTAGATTTGAACTCAGGTCCTCCAACTCCAAAGCCAGCCCTCTTTCCATTGCACCATAATGAGCTAACCATTGAGGGGGACCGTAATAAAATCTTTGTACTGGGAGAGCAATCTGCACTGTCCTGAAGGGAATGGAGTGGGATTACATTATTATACATTAGAGTAAACATTTATTAAACACCTACTATGTGCCGGTATTGTGCTAAGCATTGGGAATACAAATAAGATTCCACTCGGAGGTAGAGCTGTGAGCAGGGTGGGGTAGGGGTGGGGCTGGGGGAGTGGTGTACCAGGACTGACTGACAGGTATAGGGACACAGAGTAGAAACACATCTGTCAAGTAACTTCATGGACCTTGTCTGGCCGTAGTTACACAGACATGGGTTCCTAGGGTTTAAAGCTAGAAGGGATCATGGAGAATGTCAAATCAACCTTCTTATTTTACAGATGAGGAAACTGAGGCACACAGAGGGGAAGTGACTTGGTCAGAATTGCATAGGTATTAAATGTGGAACTTAACTCCATTATGTTAAAAAACCTTTGCTGGTGTGCTTATGTGTATGCATATGTGTGTGTAGTTCATTAAAATCCTACCTCAGGTGCATACTAACTGTGTGGCCCTGGGCAAATCACTTAATCTGTCTGAGCCTCAGTATCCTCTTCTGTAAAATGAGGTGAGACTCAATGGCTTCTAAGGTCTGTTCCAGCTCTAAACTTTTAATTCTATGACATTTTAAAAAAATCATCATATTCTCCCACTCCACCCAGCTCCAACACACACACAAACACATATACACAGCAGCAGCAGCTGTTTTTTCCTTTCAGCTCTGAGGAATCTTTCACCTGAAAAGAGAGACCTATGATTCTGCTTCTTAGTAATTTCGAGGCAAATCTAGATATCTCTCCCTGTAGGTCTTGGTTCCTTAAACTCTCATATCCCATACATATATGTTTGTTATTCAGTCAGTTGCTTCCCTTGATAGATTCAAGCCTAGTTGGAACTTTGGACAGAGGTTACAAAAGAACTCTCATGCTCATCCCCCACCCCCACTCTCGTCTAATTGAGGTGACAAAAAGAAATATAATAAAAGAATAATTGTAAACAGTAGAGTAGAGACTATATGTGAGGGGATCAGAAGAGAGTCAAAGATTAGGGTGTAAGTTGAAATAGTCAAGGAGGGCTTCTTGGAGGTAGTGTGATTTGATTTGGTCTTCAATGGATGAAGAGGATTTGAATAGGCAGAGGAGAGGAGGGAATCTTTAAGGGATCTTAAGTTCCCCTTCTGGGGATTCACATGACATTCTCTCCTCTTTTGGGGTTTTAATGTGTCCCAAGCGTTGCCTTACACACTGTATATTACAGGGGTTCGGGTGATTTAAAGTCTTATGGAAATTTCTCTTTTCTGTTTGATGGTTGTTCCTTAAGTAAGATAGCCACAAAGCATTCTGGATCTGGGAGAGAGGATGAGTATGGAGTGGGAAAAGAATGGTGATCTTTGACAGATCTGGATTGCGTTTTCTCAAGTCCTAGATGCTAGGGGCCTCTAGAACTGTGCCAGAGGTTCATCCCTTCCCCATCCTGTGAACCAAGTTTAAGGCATGTTTCCTGTTACCTCCTAGTATCTAGATCCCCTGTCCCTTATTGCCCTAATTATCTTTCAGTCTCTGCCTGCCCTCTGGGCCAGGTCTTTGTGAACTGTACCGACCCCCATGCTGACCTTGCCCTGAGCAGAGAGAGGACATGCGAGCACCAGCTGCTGAACCTGACTGTGCCTGCCCACGGACCCTGTGTCTCAGGCTGTACCTGTCCCCAAGGGTATGTATCCAACTCTGCTGTCTCTATTATACTTGGAATAAGTAGGAAAGGGCTCATATAGGAAGTCACATTTGAACTGAGCCTTGCAGGAAATGAGGAATTCTGAAAGTCAATTCTCAGCCAATAAACAAACGTTTATTAAATGACTACTTTATACCTAACACTTTGCTAGGCAAGATAGATACAAAGATAGAAGTGAAAACTGTTTCTACCCCCAAGGAGCTTTACAGTCTAGTCAGGAAATCACATATCCATGCGTATTAAAAAAAAAATAGCATGAGGAGGGAATGCATTTCAGGCATAAGGGAAGCCATATATGCAAAGATAGGGAGACAGGAGATGGGAATATTGTGTAAAGGGGATAACCTGAATGAAATAAAGAATGATTGAAGGGAAATCATATGAAACAAGACTTTAACTAGATTGTGGAGGGCTTTGAATGACAGCCTAAGAACTTTGCAATTTATCTTAGAGGTAATTAGAAGCCATTAAAGATTATTGAGCAGGAGAATGACATGGCCAGATCTATGTTTCAGGAATGCAGATTTGCCAGGAAGGAGGGGTGTTCAAATGCCTCCAGTGGCAATTCACATGAAGATGTTTCTGATTGATATTCAGGTTTGATTTTCTCCCTCTTGGATCCATTTATATTTTTAATAGGAGACAGTGAATTAGTCCCAAGGAATGAAGCCATGATAATGGAATTCAGGCACCAATTGGGGCGGAACATCAGGATGGCTGGGGCTGGGTGGTTTCCTGATAGCAATGGAGCACCATTGCTTGATAGACTGGCCTTGACTGGGTGGTCGCTTCTCTCCCGGTTTTCTCTTTCTACTGAAAGGAGTAATAATGATGGGAGTTCTTTCTCCAGAGGGATGGCTATAAATCGGAGAGATTTTTTTTTTTTGGAGTGGTGGTGGGCAGACAGAGCCTGAGAAATGCTTATATGCCTAATGATGATCTTATATACCTGGGGGATGTTGCCAAGATCAGATAAGTACTGGCACCCTTTGGGCAAATGCCAAAGGGTTTCCCTTCCTTAGAATTCTTCAGGCAGACTGGATGACCACTTTTCAGGTTTATTGTAATAAGGATTCTTTTTCAAGTTTGTGCCAGACCAGATGGCGGCCAAGGCCCCTTTCAATTCTAAAATTCTTAGATTCTTTGTTCCTACCTAGAGAATCCCAGAAGAGGCTGCATGGGGTAGTGAAAAGATCACTGATTTAGGAGTCAGGATGTCTGGGTTCTAGTCTTAGCTTTGCCACCAATTTATTGTGTGACTTCAGGCAAAGTCACTTCTCATCTCTGAATGTCTTTCCTTATTTATAGCACAGTGTAGCCTGTAGGACACTGGACTTGGAATTAGGAAGACCCAGGATCTGCCCTTACTACCTATGGGACCTGGGCTCTTAAACACGCTGCCTCTGTTTCTTCAAATGTAAAATGAAGGGCTTGGAATCCATGTCCTCTAAGGTCACTTCTATCTCTAAGCCTATGATCCTATGATAAGACCATCTCCTCCGGGGCTCCTTCCAGCTCAGATGTTCTATGGTTCTAGATTTCTTTCTCTGACCCCACCCTGTAATTTCCATTTTGCCTTGTCTAGTCCCAGTTGCCTGACTCTAGGGACAGGAGGATGCCCAATGGCTGCTGCTGACAGTATAGATTTTGGTCTGGGCATAGAAGGGAAACTCTTTTAACAGGCACATGGCAAGAGTTCCTCTGCCCCATGACCCCTGATGAAGAATATTGTTTTCAGTAGCATCTTTTCCTCTATGACAGGGATTCTTTTTTTCTTTTTTTTTTTGACTAGGCAATGGGGTTAAGTGACTTGCCCAGGGTCACACAAGTAGTAAGTGTTATATGACAGGGATTCTTAACCAAGGTCAGTGAATTAAAATAAAATTTATAACTATATTTCAATGTAAATGTTTTCTTTTTAATCCTTTAAAAAATTTCATTCATTTAAGAACATTATTATGAGAAGGCATTCCTAGGCTTCACTGGATTGCCAAAGGGATCCAGAACAATAAAAAAAGGTTAAGAACCCCTACATTAAAGGATGCCCAGGCTGGGTCTGTAGGTGGCTGACTTGGAGTCCAGGGACATGCCCCTCTTGGCATCCCTGCATACTTGTCTCTGGATTGATTGTTGGATATGTTTAGGGCACTGTGCCCTGGGGAGTAGTCGTGGAAATGTTCTGGCCAGCCTCTTGGGCTGGGTGATTTTGGAGGTCCTATTGGGTCATTGCTCCCAGGTCAGGTCTATAGCATAGAGTCATAAGCTCTTAGAACCTTAGGACTGGAAGCGATCTCAGAGGGCATGAAATCTCATCCCTGATCAAGGGAGCATTCAGCCTTCACTTAAATACCTCCATCAAGGGGGAACTCACCATCTCCCAAAACAGCCCATTCTGATTTGGTACAGCTCTGATTATTAGGAAATTTTTCCTTTTGTCAAGCAAGTTGAAAATTGCCTTCCTATACCTCTGTTTCCCTGTTTTTCACTGGGGCTAAGGAGGGCAAGTTTAATCCTTATATAGAGAACAGGGGCCAGACCCCGCCTCTGTTTGCCCTTTGATTGTTTCCCTTCTCTTCCCATCTCAAACTCTTCCATTTTAGCTGGAATTCCAGGTAACTTCTTAGTTTCACCTTTTCTGTATTCAGGTTTATGGAACCAGCTGTCTCGTGTGCCTGCACAAGGATGTATAGCATATACATTAATAATAATCACTATGAAATGGACAGTATCTACATAGAACTTTAAGGTTTACAAAGCACTTGACATGTAATATCTCATTTTCTCACAATGATCCTGTAAGGTAGGTGCTATTATTATGCCCATTTTACAGGCGAGGAAACTGAGGCAGAGAAAGGTCAAGGGACTTGGGCAGGCTCACATAGCTAGTAGGTGTCTGGAGAAAGATTTCTTCTCCATCCACTGAGCCACCTGGCTATCTAGTGTTTTCCAAGTCATGCTCTCTGTGTGTGCACAGGGAACATATATGCTGAACTCCATGTGTCCTATGTATGTGAATGCTGTATTCTGAGATTACAAGAGGCCCTAGGATTGTTCTTCCTGTATTCTCATAAAGAAGACATTTTATGACCTGTCCCTGGGATGAGATGTCTGATGAGAGATTTTATTATTTATTAAAGTTCAGCCTGTCTAACTTGGCAGGTCTAAGGCCTGATCTATAGTCTTTAAACTGCATCCTTTAGCCTGTGCTAATGTCATCTGTCACCTTGATGAGTGTTAGGGCCTGACTCAGGCCGTGAAACAGAAATAAAAGAAGAAATGCCTCTGGCATAGGGCCAAAAGCCTGGGCAGTTGCTTCCTAGAAGTCTGTTTAGAGCAATATGGATGGATGGAAGGATGGATGGATGGATGAATGAATGAATGAATGAATGAAAGAATGAATGAAAAAGCACTTATTCATCCCTTGCTATGTGCCAAACACTGTGCTAAGCCATGGGGATACAAATTTAAAAGCAAATACCGGCCCTGCCTTCAAGAAGGTTAAGTTTTAATAGTGAAAGAAAGCACACATAGGGAAGAGACGGCTAAAGATGGGGGGCATTTTAGTTCTGAAAGTTTCAGGGATGGGGAATAAGCCATGGCAGAGTAGCTTGTAGTGAAAATAATAGAATTGATTTGATCCTGGTTCCATCACTGGGGGGAGAAGGGAGTTAGGATGTGGGTACTATAGCAAGGCAGTTGGCAAGACTGTACAAAAGGTGACTGGAGAGTTGGGAATGAAGTAAAGCTTGGTTGGGGCCTTCTAGAAGTAGTGTGCCAAGAGACATTCACCACTCAGGACAACAGAAATGGGAGCTTGTGGCCTCTGGAGGTTGCCAGGGCTCAAACCTGAGCCTACAAATCAAATAAAAATTGGTTCACCCTTGTGTAAATAGAGGCAATAGGGGTCAAGAAGGGACCTGAGGGAGGGGGTTGGGATTAAATACCTGCAAGAATTGGTGCAAAGACCTCTTCTGTGCCTAGAACTGGGCAGAAACATGGAAATTCAAAGGCACAATCCAGGTTCTGGCATGCCCCTGCCATCCCTAGGCTCCCAAACATGGGATGGATGACCTGATGGTTAATCTGTGTGTGCTTGTCGTGAGCCCTCAGTAGTGGGCTGTAGCTGTGTATACATGCTGCCTATCCCAAAACATACATGTAGTCGAGTGCATTGTACCCACAGACACATATTCACATCCATTCAATATGTCTAAGTACTCATCTAGACAAACATACCGGTTGGATTAGTGGAGAACCCAGTACAGGATTGAGTGTGTGATTATCCCATCTCAGACAGGTGATGCTCTTGTAAGGATGTCTAGGAGAATGAATGAGTGAATGAATGAATGAATGAATGAATAAATAAATAAAAGAAAAAGCATTTGAGTCCTATTTTGTTCTAAAAATATAAAACCAAGACAATTTCAGCCTCGAGAAAGCTTATATTCGAAGAGGAGGGAACAACATACATATTAGAATGGTCACTTGAGAGAGATGTTTTGGTTTGGGAAGTCACAGGGAGGGTTAGTGGAACAACTGGGGAGTTGACTTGTCCTTTCTAGTAGCAATGATGGCATTCCAGAAGGCACTCATTTATTCACTGGCATTTCTTAAGCTTTGTGATGTTTAAAAAGTTTGAGAGACATAATTTCTGAGTAACTAGTTATTTTGTTAATAATGCTAGAATTTTGATAAGAAGTCAGTGGCACTCTTGAATGCCAAAGGCCATCAGGGTGTCTTGTTCATAGTTATATACCCTTGGAAAAGGGGTGTTCCTAAGGGTGGCAATCAACTCTGATTGGTTAACAATTAGTGAGAGAAAATGAATATTACAATGAGAGGCTGGACCTATTCTAATAAACTTTGATTATGTTATTTACTTCTAAGTTACCCAGCCTTGGGCAATCTATTCAAAGAATTTATCCCCACCCAAACCTGAGTAGAAGGTTGGGTGAGGTCTGACCAAGATTGAGGAGAGTTAATTTAATCTCATTATTAGTAATTCTCTTCAAGAGACTGAACTTTGAAATGAGGACTATAGAAAAAGGGGGACCTCTGGATCTCCTCAAATCATTGGCTATTAATAATAATTTCTTTCAACCTCCTTTGGTGACATAACCTACTCCTAATTATCAGGTTGCTAGCAGCTTGTACAAATGAGGCCCAGGAACTCAGTCCCAGAACCATTAACTTTCACCTGGCTTTATGCCTTTATACCATTTCCCAAGAGCACTGGAAGGACTAGAGATCTGGCTGGTTGTGCTCCAGTATAATCACGCCCTTACTGAGTAAAGAATACAGTTCCTCTGGCTTACTGGAGAGAGGCTCTGGTAGGATGGAAAGTGACCAGTGGAAGGAAAGTGAGATGGCTTCCTGAAGGAAGAAATCAAGTCTTTGAAAGAGGTAGCATGGTGGAGGGGTAGAAAGAATAGGTTGGAGTCAGAAAGCTTTTGGAAATATACTGTGTGGTCTCAGGCAATCAGATGACCTCTCTGGGCCTCAGTTTACTTTTCTATAAAATGGGAAAAGTAATACTTGTTCTACCTATCTTACAAAATGCTCCTAAGAGCATTGCTTGTAAACTTAAAGACTAAGTCACAATACAGTTCATTATATGTCCTTTGTATTCATCAGCCACTAGCATGGACCCTACTGTCTAGAAGTAGAAACCCAGTAAGTATGAAGAGAATTACATTGCTGATTAGAGAGGACAGTGTGTGTTGGGAGAGAGAGCGTTGACATAGCAAAGCACTGGTATCATGGGTGTGCCAGGAGTTGGAGCACACCTTGGGTAGCAGCAAGAAGCTGGGCCTGTAACTGGTTTGGGGCTAGAGGTACACTCTATTCAGCCAGGTGGTCACCAGTGACTTCTGGGAATCGGGAAGTCCAGATGCTGGAGAAGCTGGAGGTCTGGCTAGGGCTGTGGCCAGACTTCTGGGGTATGGGCTCCACCTCTTAGGAGATGTAGACACCTGATGTCTAAGCCTGTGTCCACTTGTGTGTCCACAGGTTGGTGAAACATGGGAATGAATGCTTTGTGCCGGACGAGTGCCCATGTTCCTGGAAGGGGAAGGAATACTTCCCTGGGGATATGGTCAATTCTTCCTGCCACACCTGGTAAGCTGAAGGCAGTCACTCTTCTGATAGCCCATCCCTTAGGGTCTGTGCGCTTTGCAGGGTCACCTGGGGCTCTCTGGGCTGCTTGGCAGATTTTCCTTTTCCTCTCATTGCCCTTCTGTGTGTACATGTGTATGTGTCTGCACATCTGCATTTGTGTGTGTGTGTGTGTGTGTGTGTGTGTGGGCAACTTGGATCCCATAACATGAAACTTGAGGTGACCAATTTGAGTGGCTCTGCTCTGGGGCCAAGGCTAGAGGACCATAGTTGAGAAGGTAAGTCTTGGTTGATTATTCCCTTGGGTCCACATTAGTTGGCCTTCCCCATCATTCGCTACTAGGATTTTTAAAAGATGCCTGAGAATTGCCTAGCTCATAACCTTGGCATCCTTGAGAAAGCTGCAAAGTCCTCCTGTGAAAGTTTCCAATCTTCCGTCTTCCCTTGGTTTCATCATCTGTAAAGTAGGAAGGCTGGATTACTGGATCTTTAAGGTCACTTCCAGTTTCAGAAAACCCTAAATGCCTATAGGGGTGCCTATAGCACCCCATCCCTGTTTCAGGCCTGGGGCCAGTCTACCTGGCCCATGTCCTGGATTTGTCACCTGCCCCCTCCCTTGTCTTGAGAGGCAGAAACAGTAACTTCCCCATTTCCCTCTGCAATTGCACTAGACCCAAAGGCAGGGAGTCATTGCCATTGCCCTCTTCAGGTGTCCTCTAGGGGTCCCTCACATTCTAGGGGTTTTCAGGCCTTTTCACAGTTGCTGAGCTGTTGCTAGATGCCTCACCCCACTGCCTCATTCCCAGACAAATCTCAGCCATGCCCACTCTCAGCATCTCCCTGCTCCAGTGCTGACTTCCTTTACCTCTTGTCATGTCCTCAGTTTCTTTTTTTTTTGTTCGAGGCAATTGGGGTTAAGTGACTTGCCCAGGGTCACACAGCTAGTAAGTGTCAAGTATTTGGTCTGAGGCCAGATTTGAACTCAGGTCCTCCTGACTTCAGGGCTGGTGCTCTATCCACTGTGCCCCTCATGCCTCAGTTTCCATCTTCTCCATCCATCCTGACCCTGGTGGATGCTCTGGCCAACTGCTCTGCCACCCCTACTCCATCTCTACTTGGTGGGCAGGTGAAACAAAGTCATGTTTTTCAGCTGCCTTCAGCGGTTCTGTCCTCCCACCTTGGGGATCTGGATAGAAGCATGGCTCTCACTCAGCCACTGACAGCAGTAGCATTAGGAGACCTGTTGTTCTCCTCCCTCCCCCTGAACCCTTCTCCTCCCACCCTCCACCAGATCTGTGGGACTGAGTTCATTTCCTTTTCTCTAGTTCTGGGAGGTCAGATCAAGGCACAAGACCCACAGAGAGGGGCTGGGAGATCCTGTTACCTTAGGAAAGAGTCTGGGCTTGGCTGGGTCAGGCTGGTGGAACCCCAACCTGCCTGAGATTCAGTTCATTTATTAAGTATTTTCTATGTACACTGAATGCCTAGTGGTTGTGGCAGGGGAGATGCAAAGAGAGACAAAGGGGAGGAGCACATGACAATAAGCATAATAATGCTAGTTAAGTTAGATGTCTCCTAGGTGTCTTACCTAGCCTCCCCTCTTCCCTGTGCAGAAGACCCCTCCCCATGTGGCCAGGTTTCAGAGAAAATCAAGTTGAGCAAAGAGCTGATGTGTGCCTGGTGTGTCTGTAACCCCTAGAACAATCCATTCTCCTTCCATTAATAAGCCTGCTTTGCATAATTAATTCACCCCCATTGAACTAAGGAATTTCTTTTTCAAGAGGCCAATTTTTATCTTCCTTATTTGGGGGGGAGGGGAGAGATAGAGATAGAGAGAGAGAGACAGAGAGAGAGAGAGAGAGAGAGAGAAAGAGAGGAGATAGGGTATATGTGTATGTGTGTGTGTTTGTGTGGCGATATATACTTGTGTGACAGGGCCATTATCTAAGAGGGGACAAGAAATATGAGTGGAAAAGATGGCATGATAATTAGTCAACCAGAAGGATAGGCACAATGTAAATATAGCTGAACTATGTTGCCAGTGAGCCTCCTTTCCCTTCCAGTGTGTGCCAACACGGCTCCTTTCAGTGTACTTTCCATCCCTGCCCCGCCACTTGTACCACTTATGGTGACCGACACTATCGAACATTTGATGGGCTCCCATTTGATTTTGTGGGGACCTGTAAAGTGCACCTGGTGAAGGTAAGCATGTCTGGAGCTTCTGTCCCACAGTGGTCTTCTATGAATCACTTGGGAGATCTAAGGGCCGAGTGGTATTGTGGTAAAAATCTGGTATTGATTGAGTCTCTGCCTGAGCCCAGGTCTGGGCATGGGGCACAGTGCCCATAAGAATGGGAATGAATTTCAAGGGCCTGTAGTCAGGGTCAGCTTTATGTGTAAAGAGAATGGATGACTACCTGAGTAGTAATTTAAGGTAGACCCTCTGTCTCAAAGTATTAGCAACACTGTTCTTTTGCCATTATAACTTTATGTTTTCAGCTGTCCCCTATCAAAACACAGGTGTACTTAGGAGAGGTCACACAGATATTTTGGGGAGAGAGTAGACCCTAATTTGGGGATTCCCTGATAACTTTATCAGCTAACACCTTAGCAGGGGTGAATTGACCAGGGAAACTGTGTCAATGTGATAGTGGTAGGGAAGTGTAGGAGGGAGGGAAGGAAGTGTAGACTGGTGAGGTAGAGTCAAAAAACTGGCTTAGCTCAAGGCTAGCCTGGACCAGCAGTATGTCTTCTGTGCTTCTGTTGGAATTGTGTTTTTTTCTCATTTTTCTCTTAGAGTACATCAAATTTCAGCTTCTCCGTCATTATGGAAAACGTAAACTGCTACAATACTGGAATCATCTGCAGGAAATTTATTTCCATCAACGTTGGGAATTCTCTACTTGTGTTTGATGATGACACAGGCAATCCTGTAAGGTTGAGCCTTGGTGATGCCATGGTAGAGAGACAGGGGAATACATAGAACAGGTGTCATATGGGGGATGCTTGGGCTTGTCTCTCCTGCACTGAATTGAAGTTAATCAGAGGCAGGTCAAACTGAGATTAGGATCATGGAAGTCAATGTCAAAATGGCAGGTCAGCTCAGCAGCACAGGAGTCAGCAGACCCCATACATTAGGATTGCAATGTGAAGCAATAGCTCGAATAGAAGGGGAGTCAGGAGACCTGAATTCTGGTCCCATGCAATTTTAATTGAGTCTTTTCTTCTTTCTAGTTCTCTGTTACTTCTCTTAAAGGAGAAGGGCAGGCTAGGTAAGGTTTCTTTCATGTACGATTTGAAAGGCAGTATGGTGTAGTGGATAAAGTCCTGGGTTTAGAGTAGGAATACCTGGGTTGAAAACCTGCCTCAGATCTTTATTAGCTTTGTGACCTTGAGCAAGTTAATTAACTTTAGTTTCCTAATCTGTGAAATGAGGATCTCAGATGTGGTGGCCAATCCCTTTTCCACTCCACATCTATGCTCCCATGATCTTTGACCTTCTGTGAGTCAAGGTCAGGTTGCAAAACGGAGGCCAGAGCCTTAGAAGTAAAGGAGTGAGAGGAGTAGGGTGAACAGAAAGACAGACAAGACAATGACAACTGCAGGGACCTGTGCCTGCCATAGACCTCTTTGCCCAGACTACCAAGCAGGCCCTGACTCCAAGGCTCCAAGAGACATAGTCCTTTAATGGAAATGCAACTGTGCTTTCCATTACCTGCCGGGTCCCCTGATCATATCTGCTTTATGGTTTGGGAAATGGAACCCCCTTGGGTGATCTGGGACCTCACTGGTCTTATGGTTGTCCAGAGTGTGGTGGGAAGCCTTGCCAATGGGCAGTGAAACCTACCAGAGGCTTGTTAAAGGCCGCTTTAGAGCCTGCTGTCCTGCTTGACTTTGGCTGTAGTCAGACTTGGGGTGAGGGTGGGAGGGCAGAGACAGCTAGGACTGCTTCCTCAGCTCTACCTGATCCCACCTTATTATGGCAGAGTCATTAGCTTTCCTCACTTCTTATCTTATTGGTCTTGTCCAGTGCTGGTGGTACAGGCAGGACTGAAAACTAGGCTAAGGACCAGGGAGAGGGCAAATTGGAGGCCTGACTAGGACATTCAAACTATGAGGCCAAACTATGCAATCTCATTATCAGAGATGTCTTTCTGAAGAATTTTGGTCAGAAGGCTAACAGGAGGGAGCTCTTAGTCTCCAAGACACAGATTACCAAGAGAAATCATTTTTAACACTTCTCACTCATACTTCATAAACATCTTCATATTAGATAGGTGTGTGTGTTTAAGTTGGACTGACTAGGGACAAGGACTGACAGATGGAGGTAAGGGCTGTGTAAATGATGAGAGAACCAATGTTCCAACAGTAAAGGTTCTGTTAAGGAGGCAAAAAGTGTAGCCACAGGCTGGAGACTTGTCCAGTAGTGCCAGATGCCTGATTGGGGGTCCCCAGAGTACCTTACTAGGCCTGGGGAACTCAGAAATATTCTTAGGTATTATCAGTTGAGAACAAGCCCAGAACTGAAAAAAAATTAGAATGAAGTTTATTAAGTTGTTTGCAAGAGGGGAAAGCAAAAAAAGTGTTAGCCTGCTCCCCTTGATCCTGAGATGATGGAGACTTATCAGTGTCCATGGTCTAGGTAAGCCTTTGGGTTTCTTTGGTCAGCCATCAGGGATCCCACTTCTGACACCAAATTATTGGCTTATATCAAATGCAAAGTGAAAAAAGTTTTAGAAAGAAGTTTATTAAGTCATCCAGCAGAGGGGGTGCCAAAAAAGGAATGGGCCACTCCCCCAAATCTCTATGAGTTACACATTATATAGAGTTCAAATAAAGGAACAAGGAAACAACAGCTGGTCAGCATGGAGGTAGTTTCCAGATAAGACATGTAGGTTGCTTGAGATATAATGGGACAAAACTCCTTACATTTCTTGTAGCAATCTCCACTCCCCTGGAAGGTTTCTGTGATTAGCATAACCTGGACATCCTGAGTGAAGTATTAAATATATCTGGTCTCTAAGCAACAAGTTTTTTCTCAGTCTTATAGGGGTAGGTTAAAACAGTGCAATAAAATTTACCCGCAGTAGTGATTGATTGACCATTCCAAACAGAGCCCTGTGAGCTTCCTAGATGAAAATCAGGAGATACACATGTGGCGAGTGGGATTTTTCACCCTGGTGCATTTTCCTCATGAGCACATCACTCTTCTGTGGGACCAACAGACCACGGTGCACGTGCAGATGGGGCCTCAGTGGCAGGTAGGCAAAACCATGGAGTTGGTGACCTGTGACCTTGGATCTCCAGTCCAACAGCAGGACAATAGAACTCAATTCAATTAAATTCAATGAGCATTTATTAATTGTAAGGCAATCTGCTAGGCACTGGAAATATAAAGATACAAATGAAAACATCTCTGCCCTCAATTTTCTAACTCACTCAGAAATCAAACTTTCCTTCTTTAGCTGATCATCTGGACCTGGGGCCTTGATGAAGATGGTCTGCCCCTCTTTCCTTTACCACTTCCTTGTCTACTTCTCCTCATCCTAATTCTAATTCCCTGAATTTCTTTGATATCCCCTCTTTAGATTCTACCCCTTCTTCAATTCCCTTTCCATATAAAATATTAGAGCTAGAAGAAACTTACGTTGTGATAAAAATCTGTGATAATGAGAAACTGCGGCACAAAGTTCTATGCATGATAAATTTATTAGCAAGGCTAACAATTGCAAATAAAAGGGACCCAAGATTCCTCTGTAGCCAAGGTTGCATCTGACAATCAGAGAAGCTACACACACACACACACACACACACACACACACACACACACACACGTTAAGAAGGTAGCAGTACAAAAATAGTCCAGTGATGTAAACTAAGCTAAGACTATGATTGGTCTGACACAGAGAGATGAAGGAAGGGTTTACATTTGACTTGATTCAGAGAGGGGATTTCCATAGCTATGGAAATGGGAAAAACACCGCGCTGACTAACATCCTTTTGAAAGTCTCATGGTAGGCAAACATCCTATGAGACTCATCTCTCTCCATGGTCAGTAAATTCACAGATTTTAGTTGCAGGTTTGAGGGAGCTCCAGCTCACATAATGAGAGGGGCAATCAATACATAGCTGATTGATCATTAATACATGATAAATTGACTAAGCCTTATTAAAATATTACAAGATAAAGTGAAGTATCACTTTTCAATTTCACACTTAGAAATCATTTTGACTCTTCACTGAGAGTTGAGACTTGGGTTCCAATCTCAGTCTTGCCACTAACTCATTGAAGACTTGAGTAATTTCCTTTCTTGGGGCCTCAGTTTCTTCATCTATAAGATGGAATTGAATCTAGATTGAATTGAATCTAATTTCTAGAGTCCTTTCTAGCTCTAACATTTTAGAATTGTAGATTCTCTGTACCTTTTCATCTTTTCCAATCTTTCTATAATCCCTACCTCTCATTTTTCACCCTTCTTACCCTCTCCTTGCCCCAGGTTGTGGGTAGATTTTGGGATTGTTGCATGATCATAAAGGTCTAATTTTTTAAAATTTTGAATTATGAAATATTTGAAAATATATCAGAGCTCACAAGAAGGGAGGGACAGGTTTATGATTGACCCTTGTGCCTATGAAAGATCCCTGGACTAGTTAGTGGTGAGTGATCTCTGCTTTTCTTCAGGGGATGCTGGCTGGGCTTTGTGGGAACTTTGACTTGAAAACAGTCAATGAGATGATGACCCCGGAGAACTTGGAGCTTACAAATCCCCAGGAGTTTGGCAACAGCTGGGCTGCAGTAGAGGTAAATACCCTCTGAGCTTGCTCTTTCTCTAGATAGAACCTGTGCCATTTTTCAGTCCTCCACAGCCTTTCACCCTAAGACCATATTCAGGTTCCAAAGACCAGTTCAAGGTCATCATCTATTCAAACAACTGCTTATGAACCCAAGAGAATTAGTGAGTGACCATATGGGAAAGGCATGTGTCATTATAGTAATAATTCAAAAGGACTTTTACATACATTCCAATGCAAGGTACATAACAAGAAACATGGATCAGTCAGCCAATGCTCTCACCACCAATTAATTTCCTGAACCAAGAATATCCAACCACTCTTCTCTCTCAGACTTACAAACCACTTTGTTTTATTAGGTAGCTAGATGAAGCAGTGGATAGAACAAAGAATTTGGAGTCAGTAAGACCTAAGTTCAAATTCTGCCTCAGGTACTTTGTAGCTGTGTGACTCTGAGAAACCCATTTCATCTCTCTGTGTCTCAGTTTCCTCATCTGTAAAATGGGAATAATACTAGCACTTACCTTACAGAATGGTTGTGAGGATGAAATAACATATATAAAGCACTTTGCAATTGAGATAACATAAGTAAAACACTGTGTAAATGCTAGCTATTATTAATATGCCTTTCTAATGCACTTTTTATATAGGATGTCCTAGAGGTCTTAGGGCAGCCTTTAATCTTAATATTTTTTAGTTTTAGATATGCACTAAAACTTTTTGAACATTTATATAATGATGTCTTATCCCTTTCCTAGACTGTGAATTCCACGAGGGGAAGGTTCTGTGACTTACTTAGACTTTATACCTTCTCCATTACTCTGCTCACAGCTGATACTTAATAAAATCTGTTGAAGATGAAAAAGTCATAGTTAACTGGGATTTGGTTTGAAAATTAGCAAGAGGCAGTGTGCCACACTGGATAGAACACTATCCTCAGTGTTAGGAATACCTGAGTTTCAAGTCTTGCCCCTCACTCATACTAACAGGATTATCCTAGGCAAGCCATTCAATCTCTCAGTGCCATAGGCAACAAGAGAATTTTTTGGTTCTGCTTGTATCAGGAGAGGGAATTTCTTCATCAGAGATTTCTCTGAGTCCAGTCCACATCCCTATATTTAAAGTCAACTAAGAACTCTTACCTGGAAATGCCGCCTCCCTGGTCATTGCCCTGATTCAAGGCAGTGGGCTGATTATACAGGTACCCCCCCCTCACCAAATGAGCATCCCATATCTCCCTCATCCACTAGTTTGGTGGAATAGTAATGATGGACTAGCCCATTGTTCAGAATGATCTTTGAGACTTTCCATCTGGCTTCTTCCTTGGAATCAATTGAGTGACATGGGAGTCAGTGGCACAGGACCACCCAGAATGCATGCCCACATCAAAGAATGTGTTTTGGTTTTTAAGCAAAACAGATTTGTAGTAGGTCAAAAGAAACGTGAGATGGGCAAATTTAGAGACATCTATTCTTTAAATGTTCATGTGGACTATTTGTGCCCGACTATTTGTGGTAGAGCCTTCTAAGCTCGTATTGGTCTGATCAGCCACAACTGGACACACTGTACCTTGATTCTAACACAGTGATGTGGTTTTAGTTCTCTTTGATAATGAAGGACAACAACCAACCAACCATATCATTGGAACTTATTGATCAAATCCAAGGATGGATATAACCCATGCCATTAACAGCTTGTTAGTAGCTTAGAGTATTTTAGCAGAAAGAGGTACGTTTCATCCAGAGGCTGGTGACTTGTGCTGAAATCAGTGTTTTCTGTCATCTCTTCCCCTGAAGTCTCTGACTGGTTGGAGGATGGGGGAGGAGTACTGGTCGCTGAATCCTGCCTTCTTGTTCTTAGTGCCCAGATAGCTCTGATCCTCGAGATCCATGTAGCTTAAACCCCCTGCGGGAGCCATTTGCTAAGAAGGAATGCAGCATTCTGCTGAGTGAGGTGTTTGAAACCTGCCACCCTGTGGTGAGTAAGGCCAGAGGTCCAAGATGCTGGCCTCAGGCACTTCTTGGGGGAGGGGTGCATCTAATCCACTCCAGACACTCTAAATCTGTGTCTCTAGACTTCAAGGACATTCAATCCATACCACTTTTGTTTCCTTTCTCTTTTAGAAGGCTCTAATAGCTATCCAATATTCTGTATGCTACAGCGTAAAAATGTCTTTTAATCCTATTTAAAATGATTGGCTACCCAGCTTGGTGATAACACTGCACAGCCTTGAGGGTCAATATTAAGCCATTCCTTAGCCTTCTGTGAGCAGCCTGTCATACTCCTCTGTCTCCTAATTCCAGTCTCTGAACCTTGGAACCAATAGAACATTTATCAGGGAAGAGGGCTGGATTTTCTGGATTGATTTGCTCTGAGGACCAGGTTAGTTGCCAAGTCCTGGACAGTTCCTTTTTTTGGAATCTCAGAGTGGTCCTTTCCTCCAGGTAGTCCCTAAGTCTGCCCCCTTGTGGTCAGCTGGTTTGAAGAATCTGAATTGCCTCAAGGGGGTGGCAGGGCTCTTCCACTCATCTACCCCCTCCTTCCTGCTCTCCTTGGTAGCTGTCCCAGAGAATCAACTTAATGGTTTCTACTTTGGTCCTTTTTTGTGTCCCTCAGGTGGATGTCACCTGGTTTTATTCCAATTGCTTGACAGACACATGTGGCTGTAGCCGAGGAGGAGACTGTGAATGCCTGTGTACAAGCTTATCTGCCTATGCCCACCAGTGCTGCCAGCATGGGATTGCTATTGACTGGCGCTCTCCCCGCCTCTGCCGTGAGTGTCTGCATTGGGCAAATCCTGAGCAAGTCCTCTCCTGTCTGGGTTCTTGACCCATCTGTGTAGGGTGGCTCCAAGGGCAACAAGAATCATGAATCCCAGTGCTGCCTGAAATTCCTGTAGAACAAGGGTTTTTTTGGGGGGGCAGGTGGCTCTAGAAACCATAAACTGAGCTAAGAAGATCAATGGAGATTATTTAGTGTCCCTGACATTATATAGATGGGGAAACTTAGACCTGTAGAGATTATAGACCCAAGCTCATACAGTCATGTGGATACAGGTAGATACAGCATTACAACCTAGGGCTTCGGGAATGATAATGAAAGGCATTGCCTCACCTCTATAAATGCATTGCTAGTGTTGGACTTTCAGAACTTCAAGGTTCTCCTTTTTTTCACACTCATTGGTCAGGACTGCATTGCCATCAGTGACTTCATTCTGTGCCCCACTTTTCTAGAGCCAATGACCAATTCTCTGCCTAGAGGGGGCCCTGAGCTATGTGCTGCTAATCTGGAATTTCCCCACATCCCACACGGCCCTATTATAATAGATGCTTGTTGATTGACTGCTCTCTTGAATGACTGTGGTACCCTATTGTGACCAGTAGAGGGTGCCCAGAGCTCAGGTATTTCTCTTCTAAGCTACGGAATTCTGAGTAGGTGATTTGTGCTGGAATGAGCCTTGAGAATCATAAATTCTCAGACCTTCCTAGTTCGGGCAAGAAACCCCTCTTTCTACAGCTTTCCTGACAATCTCTGCTTGAGTTTGTCAAATGATGGGAAGTTCACTATCTAACAAGGCAGTATTTCATTTTTGTATGGTAAGCATTTTCTATAGATGGATAGTAAGTTTTCATCTATATTGAGCTAAAATCATTTATACTGAACTGAAATCAGACCCCTCTATAATTCCATTGGCAAGTCAATCAACAAGTATTTATTAAACACTAACTACCTGCCAAGTACAGTGCTAAGGGTTACAAAGAAAAAGAGAAAGCAATGCCTGTCCTCAAGGAGTTTCCATTCTAATAGGGAAGACAACGTGTATATAAGCAGCTTCTTTCCTATTTAGAGAACAGGTAAAACAAGTCTAATCCCTCTTCAATATGACAATCCTTCAAACATTTGAATGGCAGTTACTCCCCCCTCCCCACCTTCCTTTCTCTTCACTAAACACCCCCATTCTCTTGATGATACAATTTGCAGAGTTAAGAGAGGTAGAATGTCAGGCCCTGTGTCCTGATACCTGGAGCACAGACAAAAGGGGAACCCAGAGTTTAGGGGAGTGTTCACTGAGACCCCATCCTAGAAACCGTTCCCTTAGAAGGGTCTCTGGAGACATTTCTCTCTCTCTTTCTCTTTTTCAGCTTATGACTGTGACTATTTTAACAAAGGTAAGAATAATGGAGTGTAAAGAACAGAGGACAAATGGGGAGATGGATTGGTGACTGAGTAGATGGTTCTCTTGGGCTGTCCTCTTAAAATGGAGTCATGGTATCCAGGGGTGACAGCATCACCTTTGAGGGTGGGGCACTTCCAGCCCTGTCTTGTACCCATATCAGTCTCCTGGTCCAAGTAGGAGTAATTGGGGGTGGGAGATGATTGAGATTTTAATGCTATTAGACATCTGTTCATGCTAAATGTCTAAGGTGCCCTAGGGCCACTGCCAGTCCTTCTGGATCCATGCTGGTGTTATATCCTGCTCCATCCTGGTCTGGCACAGACTGACGAGTCCCTCTAGCCTCTTTCCAGTGCTGGGGATTAGGGAGAGGAGGTCAGGTTTATCCAGGCCAGTGATCCAGGCACTACTTCCCAACCCAATCCCGTCCCTCCACCCCCGATAATGGAAGCTCACCCTGAAACTGCATCAGTCAAAAACAACAACAAAATCAGATTTGTGAAAAACACCACCCCTAAAATGCTTCAGTACATTGGTCCTGGGCCATGTGGCTTCATGCTGCGAATATTCCTCAGGGATAATCATTTATGAATGGAAATCTATACTTCTGGGGATACCTGGAAGAAACCTGAACCATGGCTTAGACTGATTGCCACTTTTTTATATTAAATATAATTGAACCAAATTAAAATGTGTATGTGCATATCCATGAAGGTGTTTGAATGTGAATGTGTGTAAATATTTGCATTGTTATGGTCACATGTCTATAAATAGGCACATATGTGTACGTATACTCATATTTACGTACATGTGTGAGTGAGAAAATACCATCCAAGCTAAAGACCAACAAGTTAATGCCCGACAAGAAGACTAGCAGATTCATTAATCAGGGTCTTATCAGTTCTGATCATGTGCATTTTTGAATCAGAGCCAGGAGCAAACCCCTCAGCCAACTGATGAAGATAGCCACAGTGGTGTTGGGACCTTCCTTTCATTTTCTGTACACCTTTCTTATTTGGTTTCTAGCTAGCCTTCCCAGTGTTCTTATTATCATGTCTAAAAGTATTCCACTAACATGATAAGAAGTGGAGTATGGGGAGATAATTTAATTAATCCAGGTGTTGTCCACTTAGGGTTCATTAATTTTTCAAAAAAATATTTTGATAACTTCATTTCATTATAATTAGTTTCTTTGGTAATACTATGTATTTTATTTTATTAACTTTAAAATATTATTCTGAGGAAGGGTCTCAGGGTTCACCAAACTGCCAAAAGGGTTGCTGACACAAGCAAAGTTGAGCCTCCCCCTGCTACTTTAATCCTTGAAAGCTAACAGGAGGCTTTTAGACATTGAAGAGCCTTAAAACCCTAAGGAAAGAATCACTCATGGTGGAATTTCAGGCACCATGATGGGGAGAAGGCTCCTTAAGCATTAGTTCAATCCTTTGACCCAGGTTCTCTTCATGTGGGGAGAAATCAGGTGTGTACTAGTAACAATTACCCCTGAAAAGGTTTAATTTGTATTATTAACATTTTTTCCATCACTTTCTTAAGTCTAGGTCAGTCAACAAAACAGTAAATCAAACACTAATTTGTAGCATCTGCTGATTTCCAAGGTGTAAATGTTCCCACTGAGAATTTAACATTCAGCTCTCTTGAGTCATTATGAGTGGGCTATAGCACACCCATGGGAGAAATGTGCAGGAAGTGAATGCCCTTTCCTGTTGTGGGATTTGCTGGCTCTGGCTAAAAGCAGAATGGATAGAATGTCCAAAGGAGCTAAGCCTGTTCTGTTCTATCCTATCAGTTTATACTGATGCTAACTTCTCAAAGCCACATTGAGTTTTAGGGCTTGGTGTCATATCTGGAGGTAAGCGCACCTACCTGTAGAGGGGCTGGTCTTGGCTTACAGGTTGAAGCGCAGGGGATCTTTTCAGAGGATATTCTTGGACAAGGAGCATGTCTTAGGAAGCGGGGCTGGGCACAGATTACCCTTGGAACATTGTCGTGCGCTAGCTCCTTCCAGTGAGCAAGCTGAAGTTAGAACCTCTGAGAGGCTCCCTGCCAGATCGTGCCAGGAAGGGGCTGGCCATCTCCATGGGGCTCTGCTGCCCAGAGGTCTTGGTCAGTGCATTAGGTGGTCTGAGTCTGCTAGATCCAGCTGAGGAGACTCAGAAGCAAGTCAGCAGGCCTGATCTTGGGCAAAATTCTTTTCCCCTTACCCCCCCCCTTCATTGGAGGTCTTTGTAGGCCAAGGGCCCCAGTGCTGTTGGCTTCTGCTGGGTGCCTCGTTTCATAGAGGAAGAGATGATCAACTTATTCACTATGTGGGTGAAAGAATACACGATGTGGTATTTTCTCACTCACACATATACATTTCCATCCATCATGTATATAGCTCTTTGGAGTCAAAGGAAATGAGTTCAAATCCTGCCTCTGTCATTTACCTTGTGCAAGTCATTTAGGCTTTAGTGTCCCCAGCTGTGAAATAAGGGGGTCACTACTTCACGATCCCTTTCAGCTTTAGATCTACGAACTTATGGACCCATGTTTAGGGACCCAGGGACCTTCCTGGGGATATTTGCCTTCTAAAGGAGGAGCCAGGGGAGGGCCATGCTTTGTTGTTGTTGTTGTTATTCAATCATTTCAGTTGTGTTCAACTCTTTGTGATCCCATTGGGGTTTTCTTGGCAAAGATACTAGAATGGTTTGCCCTTTCCTTCTCCAGCTCATTTTACAGATGAGGAAAGTGAGGCAAACAGGGTTAAGTGACTTGCCCAGGGGCACACAGCTAGTAAATGTCTGAGGTCAAATTTGAACTCAGGTCTTCCTAACTCCAGGGCTGGTGCTAGCTCTTACTGATTTTAGGTCTAACACTAGCCACTGCACAACCTAGGCACCTTCCCACGCCACTCAACCTCCCAAAGTCACAAGTATACCCAAAAGGTATAAAGTGTTTGGGAGTTCAGAGGAGAGAGAGCATTTTCAATTGTGGGGAATGGGTAAAAGCTTCATGGAAGAGGTAGCATTCGAATGGGGCCTCAAAGGATGGGCAGAGGTCTGGAAAAGATAACAGTGTGAGCCATGTCCTGGTGTTGGGACAAACAGGTCATGTTGAATAATCTGTTTTGGAGTGTAAGTTACATGAAGGAAACCAATGAGTTATGAGGCTAGAAAGTTAGATTAGAATCACATTGGGCATGGGTCTTGAGTGCCAGGCAACTGCGAGGTTTGTACTTTAAGCCATAGAGTCTTTCTAAGGTAGGTGTGTGTGTGTGTGTGATGTGATCAGAGCTGTGTCTTAGGAAGATTGTTTGGGCATGTGTCAGAAGGATTGGCAAGAGAGAGACCAGAGGAGACTAGATAAGGAGTTATTATAATGATCCAGATGAAGGGTAATGAAAGTCTGGGTGAGGTTTGCTGCAGATCAACTTTTTGGGGGTTTCCTCCTTATTAAGATGGCATCAGCAGGAGGATATCCTCTAGGGGGCCACTTCCTTCTATTTCTTTTCTTTTACTTTTTTGTTTATGGAATTCATTGGCTTTCTATTCTATTTTTTTTTAAATTTATTTTATTTTCAATTCAGGGAACAAAACAAGCATTTCCATAACAGTACAATAAAAAGAGGATTGCACATAAAACTGCAAATATACCATGTACAAGTTGCTATTCTCTCCAAATACACAACAAAGTTATCATGTACATTTCTTTTTTCCTTTTTTTCTTTCCTTCTCCCCTTCCCCTGCCCCAGAGATGGCTACCATTAGACACAAATAGGTGTGTATATATATATATATATATATATATGTGTGTGTGTGTGTGTGTGATTCTATATATACTTCTATTTATCAGTTTTTTCTCTGGATGCAGATAGTGTCTCTCTTCATTTGAACCCAGTTCCTTTGACTCCAAAGAGCTGGTGCTCTTTCCACCACACCATGTATTCTTTCACCTACATAGTGAATAAGATCTGGCAGGGAGCCCCTCAGAGGCTCTAACTTCAAAGTAAAAGTCCTTTACTTTTAATTTGTATATTTATAATATTTAAAATGACTTAGTCAATCAAAGTCATTCTTAAAACAATATTGTTATTATTGTATACAATATTTTCCTAGTTCTGCTCACTTTACTCTTCATTATTTGTTCAAGTCTTTCCATGCCTTTCTAAGATCAATGAGCTCATCATTTCTTTTAGTATTCCATCACAACCATACATTACAACTTCTATTTCCCAAGGAGTAAAGATGGAGGCATGTGCAGGTAACTGACTAGAATCCTGATACCCCTCTGAACCTTTCCCCGTGGAGTATAGTTGAATGTTGTGTCAGTAGGGAGCTGAAAAGTATGGTCAGGCCTGGTATCAGAAGAAAAGAAGAAGACTTCATGGTGCAGTGGGGTGGATGACCCAGCAGTCTCTCTCCAGCTTTAGGTAAGGGACCCTATCAACTGGTCAGCTATGTGACTGGTGGCACCCGGGTGACTGTGAGGAAAGTGAGCGGTGCTGTTGTCCTCGCTCTTCATGAGAATGTGGGTCCTGAAGACACCATTAACTTCTTGCTGACCTGTTCAGTGTTCAAGCCCAAGGCCCATGGTAAGAGTCCTCTCTTCTGTAGTACTGGAGGGGTGAAGAAAAGATTGATCTTCCAAAAAAAATTGTATTAATGTTTTTGTGCTTTTACATCACAATCATTTCTGAGCAGGGGAACTCCCTACCTTCCTCTGGATTAAATTCTTACTCATGACAAAGAAAAACAATTAAGCCCCGGCACCTGAAATGCTGACCCCCACCTGATGGGAGGGCTGATCTTAAAGGTTTAAGCATGAAGTAATTGATGGAGACATGGCTAAAAATTGAGAGTTGCCAGGAAGTTTAGTAATTAGGTAACAGGTCCATTTTACAGAAGAGGAGACTGAGACCCAAATCCACCCATCATTAGTGGCAAAGCTGGTACTAGAACCCAGAGCTCTAGATCCCTAGTCTGGAGCTTTGGAAGTAATCCCAGGACCTTGACTGGTCTGCTGACTAGCTATGATACTCTCACCTCACCAAGCTGGGCTTCCTCCTGTCCGTACGTTCAGGAGAGATGCGAGCAGAGAAGTCTTCCTCTGTTCCTTGCTGGAAGGAGCTGTAGGAAGTCACATCTGACTGAAATGGCTGAGAGACTATGACTTTTTCTCAATTCAACAATTCAATCAGCATCTATTAAGCACTTACTAAATGCAAGTCTGTTTGTGTGTTGGGTGTTGAGTTTCGAAGACAAACAATAAACCAAGCCTTACCCAAGCAATGTTGGTTGCATGTCAGGGAGGATAGCCCTGATCTGCCTTATTATGTCCTAAGGGACCATCAGGGACAGAATCCTAGGCTAGAGAGACTATGGGCTCAACCTAGAATCCAGTCTGGTGTGCTCAGGGACGTCAGAGTCATGGCAGGATCAGTGAGACATTTTAATTTAATTGCTCTTTACCTCAATTCTTAGAAAAGTCACTTTAACCTCCTTGGGTCTCAGTTTCCTTATCTGTAAAATAGGGTGTTTGGTCTAGCTGACCCTAAGGTCCCTTCCAACTCTAAATTTATGATCCCAAGCCCATATAAAGATTCTTTCAGTGATATCGGATATGGCGAAGAGAGTTCTGGACTAGGTCTAGTCCTAGCCCTGGTGCCAGTCAATGATGACAGCTAGCATTCGTATAGCATAAACTTTAAGGCTAACAAAGTGCTTTACAAACATTGGAACCTCACAACAACCCTGGGTTGTTGTTGTTGTTTATTTGTTCAGTCATGTCCAACTCTTTGTGACCCCATGAACCATACCATGCCCTTCTATCATCAACTATCTCCTGATGACCCTAAGTGGCACCTGCTTTTATCATGCACATTTTACACATGAAAAAGCTGAGGCAGACAGCAGTCAAGCAACTTACCCAGGCTCAAACATCTAGTAAGCGAGGCTGTATTTGAACTAAGATCTTCCTGACTTCAGGTCCAAAGCTCTAACCATGACACCATCATCTTAATATCTTCATGCCTCAGTCTCCTCTATAAAGTAAGATGTAAATGATCTTTAAGGGTCCTTTCTAAGCCTAACATTCTGTGATTCTGCAGAGAGTAGGCTAAGGGAAACTTTAGAATTTAGAAGTCATAGACAGGCAGGTTTTGGCCCAATAGAAGGACAAGCTTGCTAACCACTGAATTATCCCAAAAGTGGAATGGAAAGTGATGAATTCCCTGCCACTAAAAGTCTTCAAGGGAAGATTAGATGGCCTTTTGTCAGGAGTTGCTGCTGACATGTGGCTTAAACTAGGTCTCTTCTGAACTTCCTTCCCATTCTGAGACTGTATGATCCCAATATTGTAGGGCTGTAGGTTATCTGGGGTCATGGAAAATAGAGAAAGCAGAGAAGCTGAAATCCGATGAATCCTCAAGCTTTGTTTTATCCATTAATTTAAATGTCCTCTCCATAGTTCTAATCATAGTTCATTCTTATTTTCCCTTCTCCTCACCCTTGGATGAAGGGAGGTGCCATTGAGCAAATGAAAAGTGAACATGAAATGAGGGGCAGGGGGAGGCAGAGGGCTGGTTAATGCAAAAGTCATCATTGATTCCTGGATAATAGATTTAGTTGGTTGACCATGCTTGCATGGCTAAGGATTTTCCCTGGCATTGTGGTCAAGCCCCTGTTGCCCCTGGCCTAGGCAGGGCCTAACTGCCTCAGTACCCTCCTCCCCTACCCATTCTGAAGCCCTAAGGGATATGGTTGTTTGTAGACTCTGACTTGGTGTCCTTTGAGTCCGCTGACAGACCCAATTACTTCCTCCATGTGACCCACAATGGGTCTCTGTCCCTGGCCAAGTGGGAGCAGAGTGAAGGCTTCCAGAACCGAGCCACGTTCATCATCCACCGCAGCACATGGCTCCCTGGCTATGATGCTTTGGAGTCCTTCAGCGAGCCTGGCTCCTTCATCAGCTTCTCAGGCCCAGTGCCCATCCTGCAGAGGTACCAGCACTCTGAGCAATTCCGGCTTGCCACTCTGCTGAAGCTCATAGGTAAGAACCATGCCACCGAATTCAGCAGGTATTAATGAAGCCCCTCCTTAAGACCCTGTTCTTGGTGTTGGGTATATACAGGGAGACGGAACATGGTCCCCTGCGCTTAAATCATTTGTGGTTTAATGAGGGAAAGGACAAGTACACAACATAATTATGATATGAGGAGGAGTGTGATAAATGTGAAGGAGAAATACAGAGAAAAGGCTGTAAGACCTTTGTGGGGAGAGAGGAGAGAGAGAGAGAGAGACAGAGAGAGACAGAGAGAGGGAGACAGAGACAGAGAGAGAGAAAGACAGAGAGAGGCAGAAAAAGAGAGAGAGAGGCAGAGAAAGACACAGAGACAGAGAGAGATAGAGAGACTGAGAGAGAGATAGAGACAGACAGAAAGAGAGACATAGAGACACAGAGACAGACACAGAGAGAGACACAAGGAACAGAGAGACAGAGACAGAAACACAGGGAGTTACAGAGATATATACAGAGATACATAAATAGATACATAAGTGAATTGATGGATAGATGAATAAGGATTTATAAAACACATACTATGTGTCAGGCACTGTGATCAGTGCTGGAGGTATAAGTACAGAGGAACAAGATTAGAACTTACATTCTAATAAAGGAAGACAACATATAGAGGGGTACTGTGAAGTGGGGGTGAGGAGAACCCCCGCTGGGACGTGATGAAGAGATAGTGGGGAAGCCTGGATACCAGCAGGATAGGGGAAAACCATCAGGGCTGGGAGATTTTGGGATCCAAGGTTCTGATGGGAGGGATGAAGGTAGTGGAAAGAGAGCAGATGAAGAGAGAGTTGGGAAGCGTCATGGCAATCTGGCCCCCAGTAAGATGAAGCAAAAGTTCATCTTTCAGCAAGGGGGAAGGGAAGGCTCATGGAAGATTTCAGGAGGAGCTAGCATCTGGGTTAGATTGTGAAAGAAGGGAGAGAGATGTTATCAGCTGGAGATGAGGAAGGTCTCTTTTAAGTGTGGGGGACTGTGTAAGCAAAGGAGTGGAGGTGGGAGAAGACAGAAGAAGAATGAGGAAGAAACAGTCCCGTTTGGTTAAAGGGAAGGACTATGAAGGGAAGTTCTGTGACATAGGTTGGGGTTCTGATATGGTTGGCTTTAAATGCCAGGATTTGGAGTTTATTCTTTAGGAAATGAGGGACCCTGAAGGCTTTGGGGGCTAGGCGGGATTTGTTCGTAACTATGCTTTAAGAAGATCACTTGGGTAAGGATATGGAGGGTTGATTGGGGAAAGGGAGAGATTGGAGACAGGAAGACTACTTAGAATTGCAGTAGTCTAGACAGAAAGGGAGGAGAGCTTCAGGTATGCTAACGAGTCTGTCTATGCTAGCAGAAGCCTTCCGACCCTTTTACCCTGGTGAGTGTGGGCAGGTGAGGCGATCATTGGCCTTAGTGCTTGATGGTTTGGTCTCATTGTTTGGTTAAGTAGGAGGCAAAGGGGCTCAGCTTGATCTCGGGGGTGCCTTTGCACAGAAAGGCATGGCCTGTGGGTACAACTACAATATCTAAAAATAAAACAGTCTCTGGGGGAGGTGATGGGGAAAGTGATACAGGGCCATGGCAGGTTGGGTTTCTTGCTGACGGGTGCACATGCCAGACCTATTAGCTCAGAAAGTTCCAGTTAGGAACTACGTCCCTGAGGAGCCATGACAAAACAGGGTCTGGGAGAATAAGGCCTCACACTCACTCCCCACTCCTGAGGTATCTCTAAGCTGCTCCCTTTCTTTCTCCCTTCCACATGGCCTCCTAGCTCCCTAACCATTGCCACCTAGAAGGAAAGTTTACTGATCAGTCCTTTTGTCTACATCCCTACTTCCTGCTGCCTGAGGTCTCTCATCTGCTTAAAGACCTTAGTGAAAGAAATACTGTTCCATTCATTTGCCACTTATTATCTATCCTGAGCAAAGTTCTATGCTAGGCAGTGACAGAAATAAAAAGTTTAGATAAGTCCCTACCCTCACGGAATTTACAGTCTGCCAATATTCACATTTTATTATTAACAAATATACGACCTTACATGGTAAGTGCTTTGTTTTTGGTTGAGCTGTTTCAGGCATATCAAACTCTTTGTGGGGCTTTCTTGGCAAAGATAATGGAGCAGTTTGCCATTTCCTTCTCCAGCTCATTTTTACAAATGAGGAAACTGAGGCAAACAGGGTTAAGTGACTTGCCCAGGGGCACACAGCCAGTAAGTGTCTGAGGCCAGATTTGAACTCAGGTCTTTCTGACTCCAAGGCTGGCACTCTAGTCACTGCTCCATCTAGTTGCCCTAATAAGTGCTTTAGAAAGGTCCAAAACAAAGTACTCAATGAGGTCTTGGCCAGACCACATCTAGAGTGCTGGGTTCATAAGAGCATCCAGTGGAGGGCATCCAGGATGGGGAAGGACTTTGAGGTCATGACATGAGGTCAGTTAAAGATTCAGGGTCAGTTACTTGAGAGTTGCATCAAGCATTAGTCAGCTGAAGGCATTAGAAGGGTTTAGACTGAAGAAGAGAAGAATTAGTGGGGGACGGGATAACTGTCTTGAGGTACTTGAAGTTTCACCCCGTAGAAGCGCTCATCTTCCTAAGGACTGGGTGCCCCTGTCTTCTGTAGACATTGTTTGTTTCCCAGAAGGGACCGGAGAAACCTGCCAAATTTGTGTTCTTTTTCTAGACCCATTGAACACCTTTTGTCCCTCTGCTAGCAGGAACTACAAGGCATAGGATAATAGGATTTAGAACTAGCAGGGGGCTCAGAGATCATTTGATTCAACCCCCTTTTATAGGTAAGGAAACTGAAGCCCATTGAGGTGCCCAAAGAGCTGGGATTGAACAGCTGGAATTTGAAATCATCTCCTCTGATCCAAATTCAGTGCTTTCCCCACCACACCATACTGTTCCTCTCCTCCCCCTAACACTTCCCTTGAGTTACGGTTTTTGGATGTGTAGGTTCCTTAGTTTTCCCTACCATAGATGTTTCCTTTTCCTTGTGAAGCTTTTCCCTAGAAGAATAATCCCCCCCAATTCATATTCCTATGGAGCATTAAGGTGTCCAAGGCACTTTCCTTCATAGCTATCCTATGATGCAGGTGTAATACATGCATTAATATATTATATATATAATCTAATTTTATAGATGAGGACGCTGAGTTCAGAGAAATTAACTGACATTCAAAGTCACATAGTTAGTAAGTGGCAGAGCCCCCAAGACCAGAACCCAGGTTTTCTGCCTCCACATTCAGCAATCTATCTGCTGTACCCTACTGTTTCCTGCTCATTGGTAGCTCGGCCTAGTGTTTCAGGCTTCCTGATGCCCCCAAATATGAAAAACAAAGACACGTACCAAAACTCCTCTAACCTAAGGGCTGAAAGCTATCAAGTGATTGTAAGGTTTCCTTTCCTGTCTCTAACTAGAGTCCCATCCCATTACCCTAGGCTGCCAGAATGGTGGTGATCCAGTATATGCACAAAGACCATCCAGGGATGGTGGTCTGGGGTTCTCTTTCTTCCTGGGGCCATTTTCCTTCCATCTTCATAACTGAACTTGCCTATTGTTTAGCCAGGCGATGTTCTGCATGTCAAATTGCCAGCTATTGTGAATGGGACTTTAATGAAGGTCCAGGGTAGAAAGGGGACTGAGTCCTCACCAAGGACTGGGTCAGTTGTTCACTGTGAAGCTTTCTGATGCCCCTATATAAAGGAGACAAGCATCTACAATCATTTGTTAAGTATCCACTATGATATAGCAGTGGTCTATGTCTTAAAGATGCAAAAAACCCCCCCAAAACAAAAAAGGAGCCCCCAAGGAGCCTATACTACTTCTAGCTTTTGGAATCTCTCATCTTTATGGGTCTGGGCTCCCTAACCAGCCTGGGCCCTTGAAGACAGGACTTGAGTCTTTCCCTCCCCAGTGGTGCTTTGCCCAGGGCTCTGCATATGGTGGGCATGTGATATGTTTGTGGGCATGATTCATTTTCCCAGATGCCAGATCCCAAGGCACTGCCTACCCCACCTGTGAGTGGCGCTATGATGCCTGCAGCAGCCCCTGCTTCCAAACCTGCCGGGATCCTCAAGGAGCCAGCTGCTGGGAGGTCCCCAGGTGAGAATCTTTCACCCGAGCACAGGAATGAGTCATCTGAAGGAAGGCAGCATAGGTGTGTCCACGTATGCCTGAATGTGTACACATGTGTGCCCATTTGTAAGCATGTGTGAATGAGTGTTGTATGTACAAGCATGCATCTATGGGCTGGGTTGTGAAGAAAATTGAGTTGGGGATATTCCCTGCTTGGAATACAATGTCTCCATTGTTTCTGCAGGGTTGAAGGCTGTGTCCCTGTTTGTCCCATCCCTATGGTCCTGGATGAAGTCACCCAGAAATGTGTCTACTTGGAGGACTGTACGTGGCCAGGTTTCCTGTCACTCTCATCTGCTCTATAGATTGCTCAGTGCCCTGAGGGATGAGTGATGGGCACAGATCACTATGAACTCACAGGGCCTAAGCCTGATCCCCCATGCGTGGACTTGGAGAGTTTGGGATCCTTCTCTATTCCCTAAGAAAGGTCTGCAAAGTCCTCAGGAAAGTGAGAAAGGCCAGAAGAATGGACCATATTGCCTCAGGCAGGCCCATGAGCAGGAGGCCAGGGTCTGAAAGCCTTAAAATCAACCTGGGGAGATGATACTCTTGGGGTGCTGAGGTAGCTACTCAGTCACTAGGAGCCTGAGCCTGAGCCTGAGCCTGTACCATGCCCTCAGACTATGGAGGGAAGAAGAGGTACAGCCCTACCCTTGGGGAGGCCCTAGCCTGAAGAGGCAACATTGTCTATGTCCTGGGAGAACTCCCAATCCTAGGGAAGAGAGACCAGTCATAGAAACACAGCCAACCAGATATCAATTCTGGAGGGAATGATGGCTCCCAGGTTGTGCTGAGCAGATAATGGATCCCACCTGAGCCTCTCTCCTTATCTGTGTTTTAGGTATTGAGGCTACAGTTGCTATGTCCAGTGTGAGGACCCAGGCTCCTGGCCGAGAATTGATCTCCCCAGAGGAATCTCGAACCCCTGAGATGTCCCTAGCCATGGCTGGGCCTAGGGCACCTACCAGCCCACCAGTCCTCACCATGGCTACCTTCTCCCTGGCCCACCCATCATCCAGGGACGTAACTGTTGCCCTCACTACAACTTCAAGCTTGCGGGCAACAGCCAAGGAAGGAGCAGAACCAAGGCTTGGGTCTACCTTGGGAGGTACCAGCCAGCCTCCTTCAAAGTGGCCCACAATGGCAGACCTCTCTACAGTGGTCCCAGCTGATGTGCAGCTGCTCTCTGGCTCTATGGCCAGCCCGACAGCTCCAGAGGCCACCTCCTCCTCCATCTCCCCACCCAGGATGCCAGTGTCCAGTGTGGGGGCAACCACCATAAAAACAACTCAAGGAAAAACGACCTTCACAGGAAGCCCAAATACTACACTGTTCCTGATGCTCCCCACAATTCCTGGTTTCCATCTAATGTCCAAAGCTGTGACCATTCCTACTCCAAGCCCCTCGCCAGTAAGGACAACGCAAGCAGGGGTGAGGCCCTCCCTCAGTCTGGCTCCCTCTGAGAGACCCCCTTCCACCACCGTAACCACTGAGATCTCGCCAGTGGGTCTCCCTCCCTCCGCAGGGCTCCAGGAACCACTGCTGATGACCCTGACTGCAGGGGAAGGGAATAGGACAGAAACCCCTAGAGTCCCCTTAGCTGAGGACATGACAAGTTCTAGCAGCTCTCTTCCATCTCTTGGTAAGACCTCTGTGGGGCAGATCCATGTTAGAACCTCTGTGAGCATAGGACCAGAAGCTGCACATGCCACAGGGCAAACTGAGGCTGGCCATACCGCAGCTACAACCCTTTCAACTTCCCCAGTCAGGAGCCGGTTTTCCACCACCCTCATCATCCATCCACCTTTGGGTGCAGTTCTCTCAGTGACTGAAGCCACCAGTCCCATGACCCTGACCTCTGTGACTGTGGTCACCTCTGCCCTTTATGCAGCAAGGTCACCTGCTACACACTCACCAGCGCCTGTGCCCTCTCTGGTTTCTGAATCAACTGTGCCATCCCTGCTGTCAGATACCAGCATGCCTCAGGCCGAGGCAGGGACACCGTTGGGCACCCATGAGATCAGCCACCTATTATCAACTTCATCCCGCCCTCCTCCATGGACCCTTGTCTCCAGTCGCCCTGCCCCTAAAGGAACTGGGGTTTCCACTCTGTCCCGAGGGAAGGACACACAGTTGTCTGTGCCCATAGCCACCTCCCTGTCCCCTATGACCTTCCACCCTACCCTTCCTCCAACCTCGCTGGGCTTGACTCAAGTTCATACAACTGGGCAAGGTGTACCCCTGACCACGGTCACAGCACCAGCTTCACTAGAGCTGACCACCCCTCTCTTACAGTCAGAAGCCACACCCTTGACCTCAACCCATGAGATGTTTGTGCAAAGGGTGTCAGGGGCACCAGGCAAGAGTACCACTGAAAAGGGGGCTGTCCTATCCAAGCAAGTGCCCCTCCCTACAACAGAATATAGTGCATCCTCTTGGGGTGTCACAGAGCTGCCTGCTACACCTCACTCCCTAGCGACTCCAAGAACTATGGCCAAGGGTGCTGGTGCCACATCCATGCCACATTTGTCCACATCCTTCCCCCTTGGCCCCCTAGCTACCAATGTGACGGGAATATCTTCATCTCCACAAACCACTTTGACCTCATACTTCCCAACTTCTATGGCCCAGACTAGGGCCTCTGGGATGACCCTAGGGCTCTTGGCTCCAGAAGAATCTGCTGATGAGAACACAACAGGACAGCCTGGCCGGTCAGCCCCAGTCGGAGGCGTCTCGGTGTTACCTACCTCAGTCTTGATGTCAATGAGAGAATCTTCTACATTCCCAACATGTGTTGTGAGTAATTCATCATGGTCCTCTGGCTGCCTGTATAGTGACCCATCCCTTCAATCCCTCCCACATCTACAAAGCCTCCCCCATCCAACCATGAGAACTGGACCCTGCCTTCAGAGTGTACTTGTAGCTGGTAACCAGCTCCTTCTAGACACTGGTTATTAGCCAGAGGAGAACTTGGGTTGCTTTGATTTCTTTTTTTGGGGGTCATTGCCTGAATCTTTCAGGCTAACTGGCATGACTGAGCTAAAACTGACACTCCTCATTTCTGCCCAGGTTGTGTGGCCTGGGCTTTCACTATCATGTCTGGTATGCAGGGCATTTTCCTGGGCACATGCCACTCAGACATAGAAACAGTGCCCTCATTTAACCTTATTCTACTCTGTCCTGAGCTCCTTAGGTCAGGGCATTGCATGTGAAACCACATGAGTATATGCCTGTGTGCCCACTGGAGGATGCCTCTCCGTGACCCCCAAGAGCTTGTTCCTCCTGGCACATGCCAACACACTACAGATCTCTTTCTTACACTATCTGATCTCAGTGCAGGACCCGACTTCCCTCCTTTTTTTCTTTTCTTTTGTATTTGAATATCCAGCACTTAACACAGTGTTTGACATATAAAAACACTTAATAAATGCTTTTTTATCCATCCATTCATTTTTGATTCTTCCAGAGTGTGAATGAAACACAATTCACCTAGTGATGAATTATGTGTGCCTGCCTCCATCACCTCAGTCCCTAAATCCAATAAAGGGTCATTGTTGGTGGAGCTGGGGCAAGGTGGGCGCTGTCTGCAGGTTATATGTCCTCTCTTGTTCTCCCATACCCCCATACACCTGGGTAGGGATTCTCTCTACTCTGGCAGGAGAGTGACACCATCTATCTCTCTTCCCATCTATCCTAGCCCATCATAGAAAGCGAGTGTGTCAGACATATCTGTGTAGAGGGAGAGTTGATCCGAGTTAACCAGACCCAGCAGTGCCCTTACAGTGCCTCACCCCCTCCTTGTGGGATTCTAGGCCTTGCTGTGCGTGCCAATGGAGACCGATGCTGCTCCCGCTGGGAATGTCCCTGTGAGTAGCCACTGTGGCTTGATGCTAAGGCCATATTCACTTGACCGTGGGTAGGGAGTGAGGGGAGCAAGGGAGCTTGGGTAGCAGAAACACTCCCTCATCTTGAGTGATCTCATGCCCATTAGAATTCCTGTCCAGCGTATGACAAACCTGACCTGTATGAGAGCAGAGAGGTGACCCGTACTCCTGGAACTGCCCCTCATGCCTTCTCTACACTAGAATATAGGAGCATAAGGTCATCGAGTTAGAGATAGAAGAAGCTTCAGGAGCTATCTGGTCAGACATCTTCATTTTACAGATGAAGAAACTGAGGCCCAGGGTGGCTTGCTCCAAGATCATATAGTCAGTAAGCATCAGAGGCAAGATTTAAACTTGCATTTAAACCTACTCTTTCTATTCTATCTCCCTTAAAAAAACAATATTTTGCTTCAATTATGACAGAAAGGAAGGGGAAGGGAAGGAGAGGAAAGGAAAGGAGAGGGAGAGGAACAGGAGAGGGAAGCCCAGCCAGTGTCTTCAGTGTGGGACCTGGAGGGTGGGGAGCTGGTTCCATCACCTATCACGCAGATGTGAAGAAATGAGGACCCAATGAAATCCCCTTGCCTGGCAGCCAGCTGACCCCTTCTCTGAACGATGTTGGCATGGCAGGCTTTAAAGAAGCCAAGCTTTGGACATGTGACGATTTCTATTAAAATGGTTCGGCCATTTTCCTGGTGTCTCTAGGAAGGGAACACAGATTTTCTCTTCCTGCGCAGGTCAGTACTACTGTCTCTTTAACCAGAATCTCTCTTCTGTCTGCATGTAGGTCGATGTTCCATTTTTCCTGACTTGAGCTTGGTGACCTTTGATGGGAGCTATGTTGCACTGTTTAAAGAGGCCTCCTATATCGTCAGCCAGCGCCCAGAGGAGATGGTCACTGTCCTTGTCCTCGACTGCAAAAGTGCAAACCTGGTAATTGCTCCATGCCCCCACTACCCTTAGGGTGCCCAAGGAACTTTGGATGAATTTGGAGAGTGAGAGAGTGGGAAATGTGCCCAACTGGCCAACACAATAAAGAGTTCTCAGTTTAGCTCTCTAATGAACTTTCCTTGTGACCCTTGGCCAATTATTTCATTCTTTGAGTCTCAGTTTCCTTATCTGAAAAATGGTCATCATCTTTTCCCCTAAATCCTCCTTTCTTCCAAACTCAGCTATTTCTATCGAGGGCAGCACCACTCTCCCAATCACCCAGGCTTGAAACTTTAGAGCTATCTTTCACTCTTCCACTCTTCCCTTCCTCTTCTTATTCAATTAGTTGCCAAGTCTTGTCATTTCTTTTTTTTATGGTAATTTTTATTTATTTTTTTGTTTTCAACATTTACTTCCATAAGATTATGAGTTCCAAATTTTCACCCCATCTCATCCCTCCCCCCACCCCAAGATGGCATGCATTCTGAATACCCCTTCCCCTTGTCTGCCTTCCCTTCTATCTCTCCCCACTTCTCTTATCCCCTTCCCTTCAATTTTCCTGTAAGGCAGGATAGATTTCTGTACCCCATTTCCTGTATTTCTTATTTCCCAGTTGCATATGAAAACATTTTTTTTAAACATGTGTTTTTAAAACTTTGGGTTCCAAATTTTCTCCCTTCCTCCCTCCCCACCCACCGTCATTGATAAGGCAAGCAACTAAATGTAGGTTGTATATGTGCAGTTATGAAAAACACTTCCATAGTAGACATGCTGTGAAAAACTAACTCTGTTTCCCTTAATCATATCCCACCCCCCCATTATTCTATTCTTTCTCTTGACCATGTCCCTCCTCAGAAGTATTTGCTTCTGATTACCCCCCTTCCCAATCTGCCCTCCTCTCTATCATCCCCCTACTCTCTTGTCCCCTTCCCCCCCTATTTTCCTGTAGGGTAAAACAGATTTCCATCCCCAATTAGTATGTATGTTATTCCCTCCTTAAGTCAGATCCTATGAAAATAAGATTCACTCATTCCCTCTTACCTTCTCCCATTTCCCCTCCACTGTAAGAGCTTTTTCTTTTCTGTTTTTTTTTGTGAGATAATTTACCCCATTCTACCTCTTCCTTTCTCCTTCTCCTAGTATAATCCTCTCTCACCCCTTAATTTTATTCTCCAGATATGACCCCTTCATTTTCAACTCACCCTGTGCCCTCTATCTATCTATCTATCTATCTATCTATCTATCTATCTATCTATCTATCTATCTATCTATCTATCTATATCTATATATACATACATATAACTTTTTCCCCTCCAACTACCCTAATACTGACAAAGGTCTCATGAATTACAAATGTCATCTTTCCATGCAGGAATGTAAACAGTTCAACCATAATAAGTCTCCTATGATTTTCTCTTTCCTGTTTACCTCTTCTTTCATGTTCCACTTGAGTCTTATATTTGAAAATCAAATTTTCTATTCAGCTCTGGTCTTTTCGTCAAGAATGCTTGAAAGTCCTCTATTTCACTGAATGACCATTTTTTTCCCCTGAAGGATTATACTCAGTTTTGCTGGGTAGATGATTCTTGGTTGTAATCCTATCTCCTTTGCTCTCCGGAATATTATATTCCATGCTTTGCGGTCCCTTAATGTAGAAGCAGCTAAATCTTGTATCCTGATTGTGTTTCCACAATACTTGAATTGTTTCTTTCTGGCTGCTTGTAATACTTTCTCCTTGACCTGGGAACTCTGGCATTTGGCTACAATATTCCCAAGAGTTTTCCTTTGAGGATCTCTTTCAGGTGGTGATCAGTGGATTCTTTCAAATTCTATTTTGCCCTCTGGTTCTAAAATATCAGGGCAGTTTTCCTTGATAATTTCTTGAAAGATGATGTCTAGGGTCTTTTTTTGATCATGGCTTTCAGATAGTCCAATAATTTTTAAATTCTCTCTCCTGGATCTATTTTCCAGATCAGTCGTTTTTCCAATGAGATATTTCACATTGTTTTCTAATTTTTCATTCTTTTGGATTTGTTTTACAGTGTCTTGATTTCTCATAAAGTCACTAGCTTCCAATTGCTCTATTCTAATTTTTAAGGAAGTATTTTCTTCAGTAATCTTTTGGACTTCCTTTTCCATTTGGCCAATTTTGCTTTTTAGGGCATTCTTCTCCTCATTGGCTTTTTGGATCTCTTTTGCCATTTGGGTTAGGCTATTTTTTAAGGTGTTATTTTCTTCAGTATTTTTTTGGGTTTCCTTTAGCAAGCTGTTGGCTTGTTTTTCATGATTTTCTTGCATCACTCTCAGTTTTTCCTCTACTTCTCTCACTTGCTTCTCAAAATCCCTTTTGAGCTCTTCCAAGGCCTGGGACTGATTCATATTTTTCTTGGAGGCTTTGGATGTAGGAGATTTGGCTTTGTTGTCTTCTTCTGGTTGTATGTTTTGATCTTCTTTGTTACCAAAGTAAGATAATGTAATCTGACTCTTTTTGCGCTGCTTACTCATGATCCTGGCCAATTACTTGAGTTTTAAACTCTTTGTTAAGGTAAGAGTCTGCTTCCAATGTGTAGAATGTACTGTCCCAAATTTTGGGGGGTTGTACAGCTGTGTTCAGAGACACTTCTAGGGACCTGTAAATTTTCAGTCCTTCCAAGGTGGTATGATAAGGGGCGAGGTGTTTTCTCTCCACTGCCACAAGAAACTTCACCACACCAGCATTCCTCCTCGCCCCAGGACTGCCCCTCAGAACTGTGACCCAGATCCAAGCACTGGTAAAGCAAGAGATCCCTGCCTCAGCATTGGCAAAGAGATCCCTGCAATCCCCCTCTGATCAGCCACTCAATTCCCCCTCAGTCTGTGGGCCAGAAGCTCAGGAGGCAGCCACGGCCCGCACTCGAGACTTGTGGCTGAGACCTAACTCCTCTCTCACCGTAGTCACAGACTTTTCCCACTGACCTTCCAAGTTGTCTTTGGCATTCATGGGTTGAGAAGTCTGGAAACCACCACAGCTGCCAGTGATTCAGTCCTCTGAGGCCTGCTCCAGGGTCTCTGCTGTGGCCTGCGTGCCCACGCCGAACTGCACTCCTCTCCCCACCCAGCGCGATATACCTTTCCAATCAACCATCCAGGCTGTCTTTGGCTGGAAATTTGTTTCACTCTGTCTTTTTGTGGGTTCTGCTGCTTTAGAATTTGTTTAGAGCCATTTTTATAGGTATTTGGAGGGGTTTGGGGGAGAGCTCAAGCAAGTCACTGCTTTCCCTCTGCCATCTTGGCTCTGCCCCCCAAGTCTTGTCATTTCTACCCCCATATCTCCTGCATCCATCTTCTACATATTCACACAGCTACCACCCCCAGTTCAGGTCCTCATCACCTCTCTCCTGGAATTTTATGGCAGCCTCCGAATGGGACTCTTTGTCTCCTTCTTCTCTCTCCTTCATTCTACATAGCTGCCAATTAATATTCCTAAGACATAAGTCTGATCATACCACTGCATATGTGAGACACTTTAGGGGTTTCCTATAGCTTCTAAAAAACAAAACAAAGCAAAAAAACCAAACAATTCCACCTGACAGTTAAACTTTCCACCATCTAGTTCCCATCTACCTTCCCAGACATTTCACATTGCTTCCCTTCACATATTTTATGTTCCTGCCTAACTGGTCTACTTGCTCTTCCTTGAACTTGACATTCTGTTGACCACCTCTGTGACTTTGCACAAACTAGCCCTTATTCCTGGAATGCTTATCCTTTTCACCTCTGTTGCCCAGAATTCCTAGTGTGCTTTAAGGCTTAGCTCAGGAGTCACTGACTCCTCCAAGCCTTCTCCTGGTTCCCTCAGTCATTAAGATTCTCCTCAGCCTCCAGTGGGACTGTATCTACTTCTCTGGGTGCATGGTGTTTCCACCTCTCCCTGTGGAATTCAAGTTCTTAAAGGTTTCATTTTGGTTTTTATGTCTCCAGTAGTTCAAATGGTGTCCAGGGAAATCATTTAATAAAGAAATAAGTTTTTGGAATTGAATTTAAATAACAGTTGCACCACCTCTCTCATTGAGCTATTATGAAAAAGCTTAGTGAAATTAAGAGTACAATAGATACAAGACTTATTTTTATTATTGCTGTGATTGCTATGGAGTAGAAAGAGAGCTGACCTCAGAAATAGGAAGACCTAGGTTCAAGTGTCACCTCTGACATGCACTGGCTGTGTGACCCTGGGCAGATCACTTACCCTCACAGTGTCCCAGACATGCAATTATCTCACTATGAGCAACTCCCAGCGAGGAGACTCCCTCTATCAATGAAAACAGTCAGTTATTCAATGGTGAGATAATTGCATGTCTAAACCAAAAAAAATTGTGGAAGCATAATGAGTTGGAGAACTAGGCTTGGGAGGCAGGACGCCTGACTCTGAACAACTCTAGGGGTAGCAAGTTTGTCTTGTGGGTTGAGTATTAGAAAGCAGCAGAGTGTGATGGAAAGATGTTAATCTGGGATATAGGAGAGAGAGGTTCTAGGTTCAGCTTTTCCATCAAACTGTGTGATCTTGGCCAAGTCATTTTTCCTTTTTGAGTCACAGTTTCCTCAACTGTGAAATGAAGGAATTTGACAGCTTATAGCTCTTACACACCTTCATTCTATGAAATATTTGTTGGAAGAATGAATGAGTATTCAAATTTGACTTCTGCATTACTCAGACCAAGGCATTGAGAATACACAGAGAGAAAATCATGCCTGCCCTCAAGGAGCTTGCCTTTTCCTGGCGGTCGAGGGAGATAGAAGTAACACATACATGCATAAATACAATACAATGTGTTGGAGAGAGCATAGGAGGAATCCCAACTGGGTGTTTTAGGAAAACTTGAGAATGCAGAGAACACTTAATTTTTTCTGAGAGTATCAGGAAAGGCTTTGTAGGGAATCTGAGCTGAGCTTTGAAGCAAGAGAAGTATTCTAAAAGATGGCAGTGAGGAAGGAATACATCCCGGGCTTAGAAGACAGCTTTGGGAAATTCATAGAGGTGGAGAATGGCATGACAGATTCTCAGAATTTAGCCCATTTGGGCTGGAACACAGTGTGTGAAGGGGAGTAATGCATAATCATTCTGAAACAGGTAGATTGATTATGGAGGGCCTAGAATATCAGAGTAAGGGATACAGATTTTATTTTCGAGGCAATAGGGAGCCTCTGAAGGTTTTTAAGTAAGGGAGTCATGGTCAGGCTTCCGACATAAGGAGATTATTTTAGCAACTGTGTGGAGAATGGATTGAAAATGAAAGAAAGAACCATAGACTATCAGAGTCAAAAGAGTGCTTAAAGATCAGTTAGTTGAACTGCCATACTTTATAGAGGAGGAGAGTAAGGACCAGGAAAAGGACTTGTCCAAGGCAAACCTTAGAGTTATTAACAATGCTAGTGCAGAAATTCAGATCACAGGTTTCCAGCCCAAGGCATTTTCCTTTATGCCTCTTTGCATTATGACACACTAATCCCCACAAAAAATGCTGTGGAGATAGCTCTCCAGTCTTGTCATGGAAGTTAACATGTTTTAGATGGTTTGTGACCACTTTTAACCTTGATGTGGCTGCCCTGTAATTCTATCGGGCCCCAAGGCTGAGGAGGGCATGGAATGCTAAACCTTTTCTATACTGTCCAGGATGAAGTGGAACTTGGGAGGGAAATCTATTACAGAAAGAATAGCACAAAGCATTCTGTGGACAAACAGAAACATTCTGGGGTTGATTGTTTTGTGGATTATTGGTGCTTTGTAAAACTTAAAGCATTACGTAGTTGTTAGCTATTATTATTGTTTCTCTCTTTGTTAGTGTGGATAACTGAGGAGGGGCTGGATAAATTAACCTCTTTCTCCCCTTCTGTATTCGGCCAAACAACTGCGTCCCCAAATGATTTGAGAGAACTTTTTGAGGGAGAACTGGGGACACGAAGAGTTGTTCAAGTCTATGCAGGAAGTCTATGGATGGTAATGGTTGGAGAGACTGGGGGTGAAACCTGGGTTCAAATTCTGGTTCAAAGAATTTATAGTGTATGGTACCATGGTCAGGTTAAGCTTTTAAATTACTATTTATTAATTACATTAATTGATTAATTTAATTTAATATATTTGATAATTAATTTAATAACCTTTTAAAGCCTCAGTTTTTTGATCTGTAAAAGAGAGATAAGGTACAGTCCTGGCACATGGCAGGTGCTTCATCACTGTTTATTGACTGGCCTCTGCCTATGTCACAACGTTATTGTGAGGATCAAATAAATTAATTTTTATAAGGTGTCATTTATACATCATAATGAGTGTATATTTGTATCATACTTTCTAGTTTACAAAGTGCTTTTTTTCTTACAACAACCCTGATAGGTAGTATAAGTAATATAACTCATTTTAAATATGATGAAACAGGGGTTAAGCGACTTACCCCAGGGTCCAATAGCTATTCAGTATTAAGACCGGCATTCAAACCAAGTCTATGGTCTCCAGGTCAAATGCGGTTTTGATTTACCATATGACTTTTCTTGTATACATGGGAGTTATTAACAATACTGTTTTTCTGCAGGGTCATTTGAACTGGCCTCCTTTCTGCCCAGTGATGCTGAATGTGACCAACCTAGCCCACCAAATGACCATCGATCGACTCAACAGGATGGTATGAACTTCTAGAATATTCCTATTCCAAGGACAACCCTGTCCTAGAATTATTGTGGCTGGTTCAGAGGGTAACAGGTGGGCCATCCCTGGCCCAGACTACCAACACTACCGGCATTTTTTCCCCTTGCTTAGACCAGAAAGACTGTAGATGGATCATTTATAAATTTCCCATTGATCGATGGGCACGACTGCCTAACGTATTATTAAAGACCTGCTTTGTGAACATTTAGAAATGGCAGTGGGATCACTGAGGGTTGCCTTGGCTCCACCAAGAAGTATTCATGCCAGATTGGCCTTATTTCCTTCGCTGACAGGACTACGAGCGGCCTGCTAAGTCAGAGGGATTTCATAAACAGGTCTTCTTCCATGTTTGTGTCATCCCCATATTCAATCCATGGGCCACCTATGTCTTTATCCAAGTTACTGAATTTAAAAAAATTAAAAATTAAAAAAATTGGACAGAAGTCTTAACTATAGGGCCAATGGGATTAAACTCTACTATTCTAGGTCTAACCAGACTCTGCTCTGGCCGGAGTGCTGTATTCAGTTCTAGGCCTCACATATTAAGAAGACAAGTTGAAGTGTGTCCCATAGGGAGAGGGAAAGATGATTGGAGAGCAGGCTATATGAGGGACAATGGAAGGAACGATTCATGTAAAACATGATAACAATTTTCAAGGGCTGTCGTGAGGAAGAGGGAGTAATCTTGTTCTGTTTGGCCTCAGAAGGTAGAGTTGGGAGCACTGGGTGGAAAATACAGAGACAGCTTTAGACTCGGTTTAAGAAAAATACCCTTGGGGCAGCTAGGTGGCACAGTGGAGAGAGCAACGGCCCTGGATTCAGGAGGACCTGAGTTCAAATCCGGCCTCGGATACATGACACTTACTAGTTGTGTGACTCTCAGCAAGTCACTTAATCCCAATTGCCTTGCTGCAAAAACAAAACAAAACAAAACAAACAAACAAACAAAAAACTCCTTGCTAGCCATGAGAGCTGTTGTCAATGCAAAGGACTGCCACAGATCTCCTTCATTAGGGGCTTTTAGGCAGAAGCTGGACGGATGATACCTTACTGGGGATAGAGTAGGAAAGGCCAGTCAGGTGCAGATTGGACCAGATTGTATCTGAAGGTCTTTCAAGCTCTTTGATTCTGCGACAGAGTCCTGGGATGCTCCACTGGAGACACCCTTCACGTTGACATTCATCTGCTCTTTGCATCTAGGTGCTCAGTTATTCCCAAGTCCACATATTTCTATGTTATTTGGATTGAGTGAGGCAGCTAGGAGATACACCGTTTAGCTTGGAGTCCTGAAGATCTAGGTTCAAATCTGACCTCAGACATGTCCTAGGTGCATGATCCTAGGCAAGTCATTTCACCTCCTGCCTGCCTCAGTTTCCTCAACTGTAAAATGGGGATCATAATAGCACCTACCTCCTAGGGTTGTTATGAGGATCAAATGAGATAGTATTTGTAAAGGCCCAGTGATGGGCTCATAGTAGATGCTTAATAAATGCCTGTTTCCTTCCTTCCTTCCATGAGAGACTTCATCAAATGCTTTCCAGAAATCCAGAGGACACAAGATCATGTTGATTACTTGAAAGCTAATGCACTAAAATATCTGTGGAATTTGATGCTACAATCATGAGAGATAAAATTAATTTTAAAAAAGCAATTAGGATTATGCTTTCATCAATTTTTTTTCTCTGAAAACTTAGCCTTTAGCCTTCAATTTGCCTCGTATATTGGAATGAGAGAAATAATTCTGGTTTTCAGCGGCTCAGTTTTCACTCTGGATTTCTCTAGATTGGATTCTGGTTTTAATGGTAGCCCATAATGATAGCCAAAGGTTTGCAAAGCACTTACATATGTCATTTCATTTGATCCTCACAACAACAACCCTGTGAGGTAAATGCTCTTATTATCCCCATTTTACAGATGAAGAAACTGAGGCTGAGAGAGGTTAAATGACATGCTCACAGTCACACAGAAAGTGAGTGCTGGAGGCAGTCTCTGAACTCAGATCTTCCTGACCCAGCACTCTATATTCTGTGTCACCAGCTGTCTCCCAATCCAGGGAAAGCTCTTTCTATTACCCATACTCAAATGAAAGTGGACCCAAGAGGTTACTAAGTCCAACCTCATGCTCTGTGTAGTAGTCCCAGGAGAAATGTGATTACTGGAGACCCTTTTTCTCCCCTTCCCATAAACTTGATCCCTCTGTCCCCATTTACCTCCTATCCTTGTGAAGCCTTCCAAAGAGAGAGCCACACTGGACTTAATATACATGAATGCACCAGATATCTGTGATTTCATCAAAATGAGGAGCTATCAGAGTAGGCTCTTCCTCTACCAATGCAGATGGACAGTTTATGAATTAGATTAGTTCTAGGGAGTTACCTGAGACTCTATCCATTAGTCCCATTATGCCACTATGATTCTGAACTTGATTATGCCATAAATCTGCCCCTTGGGTCTAGGAACCTCCTGGGATCATCTTGTCCATCCTGCTGTCTCCCAGCAGCCCAGGGTCTATCTCCCTCCTATCCTTTCAGATCTCCAGAGGAGAATCCATGATCTCCAGGGCTTTCTTCTAGCAGCTCCGTTTTTTAAGAACAAACATTATACAAATCTGACCTCAGATTCTTGACACTTACTAGCTGTGTGACCCTGGGCAAGTCATTTAACCCCAACTGCTTCACAAAAAAAAAAAAAGCAAACATTATAAAAAAAGTTCGAGTGTACCCATATTTGGAGAGTCATTGATTTCTGTTTTGTTGCCTTTCTTCCTTTTCCTCTAGGTAACTCTCAACTCAAGGCCCATCTGGCCACCAGTGAGCCAGCATGGATTTAAGATTGAAGATACGGGGAACATGTATGTGATCCGGACTCCCTCACAAATCCAAATCCAGTGGTTCCACAGCTCGGGGCTTATGATTGTGGAGTCCAGAAAAACTGATGAATCTGTGGGTGGGGGTCTATGTGGTAAGTTCCAGATCTCTGCAAGGGCGTATGGGAAACGGCCGCTTCAGTGCCCATTGGTGCTTGAAAAGGGATGTGCGGGGAGGGGCTCATGGAAGAGGGAGAGCAGTGCTGTCTCTCTGATCCTTAGATTGTTATAGGGTAGACGAGACCATGAGAGACAATGACTCAGAGTTCAGGCTGTCAGGAGGGTTGCTGGCAGACAGTGAAACCAGCTAGGACTGAAAGGCAAGACCCAGAGGCAGAGAGAGGTCAAATAGCCAGCAGGAAACAGGTCTGGAAGTCCAAGGGAGTCCAAGATCAGACCCACATCAACATAGGCCCAAAATCCCATTTGCACCTTATCAATTTGTATTTTCTTTTCCTTTTCTTCTTGCCTTAGTAGAACCTCTTTTTTAATTTCAAAGCTTTATTTTTGCCCTTTCTTAATACCGTAGACACTTCTTAATCCTATCTACTCCCATAGAACCATCCCTGTTATAGAGGAAAACACAGAAGCAAAAGTAACCAACTCAGTGACCACATCTGACAAAGTATACAACATTCCTGGTGCCTGAAATTCTGACTCCTCTGGCTGTCTTCAGGTCCTACCTAAAACCTCACCATCTGCAAGAAGCCTCTTCGGATCCCCCTAATGCTAGTGCCTTCCCTTGGAGACGCTCTCCATGTTACCCTATCTCTGTCTTACCCATAGCTGTATGCTTGTTGTTCCCGCCATTAAACTGGGAGTTCTTTCAGGGAGGGAATGGCTTCTCCTTCCCCCTTTCTTTGTATTCCCAACACAGCCTAGTGCGGGCCACAAGAAGGCCCTTAATGCATGCTTGTGGATGTGACATCATAATATTAGCAACTGTAAACCCTCCTCCTACCAAGAAGAGGAAGGTGTGTTTCATCATTTATTTTCTGGAACTAATCATGATAATTGCCTTTAATCAGAGTTCAGCTGCCTTTTAATGTTCTTTTTAGCCAGTTAATACATATATATATATATTTATAAACACATATATATTTCAGCCATAAATTCAGCCACATACTAGCATGTGTGTGTATGGAGAGAAAGTATATGTAGCTATAACATACACACACACACACATACACATGTATAAACATGTATTATACATATACATGTTATAGCCACACACATACACATATGTGTATCTATGTTTGTCTATATGCATGTGTATATATATATGCATGTATATATACACACATGCACATGTGTATATATACATTTATGTGCATAGATATAGATATATAGTTCTTTTGGTTCTGTTCTCTTTGTTTTTGTATCAGTTGGTACAAATCTTCCACCTTTCTCTGAATCATCTCTGTGCCTTGTTTCTCATGCCGAATTAAGATTCTGTTGTCCTCACACACTCATTTGTTTAGCCAGGCCCCAGTGAATAGACGCTCCCTTCATTTCCATTTCTTTCAGTCACAAAAAGTCAAAGTCACCACCAATCCCTTTAATCAGGAAAAGGGTGCTCCAAGGAGCGAGGCTACTCTTAAGAAAGTTTAGAAATGGCTACACATGACATAGAGGATAAAAGCCAGGGCAATAGAAGCCATCTTCTCCAATCCTTTCCCAGATGGGGAGACTTCTTAAATCACAGCTGGAGTTGAGTCAGTAGGTGTGCCTGTTAGTGGACCTTACCAGGTTTGTGAGTGGGACAGTCTCAACCTGCAGCAGAACCAACTGCCCTTTGCCCTGACCCTAGACATTGGAACGTGGGCTCCTGACACTCCAGGGGCCTGGGTTGGGAGTGTGGAGACTGCCTAGCCAGGGAGGCCTGTATTTTAGCCAGTTCACCGTCACCCTCAGCTTCAGAGCTGAGGTTGATCTTTCCAGAGGTGACCAGTGGGTGTAGAAAACCAGAGTCTTGGGCGTAGAACAGGGACAGTCACAGGAAATTGAAATTTAGAGTTGGGACATTCGTGTTCTCTGCTGTGATGCTCACCACCCCTACCTTGGCTGATCCAGGCTCTTCAAGGTGGTACTTGTCACATCATTCCACTCTGCCTGTAGGTATCTGTGATGGTGATGTGGCCAATGACCTCACCCTGCCTGATGGCACTGTGGTGGAAGAAACTGAAGACCCTACCCCCTTTCTGGACAGCTGGCAGTTGCCCAGCACCCTGACATCAGTGGGTCAGTTCCGCTACCGGGAGGACAGCTGTGCCGCCGCAGACTGCTCGCCTTGCATCCGCATGGTCTCCAACCACACCTTCAGTAGCTGCCATGATTTTGTATGTTTCTTCCTACCTGGAAGGATAAGAATGGAAGGGTCAGGAGGGAAGGGCCCATCAGAATGGGATGGGACAGGAGATGATCAGTAGGTGTAAGAGAGTTTGAGCCTCCTCCCTTAATCCATCACCCAACCTCAGCTCTATACCCGGGTAACCTATCTGCCATTATGGCCTCTGGATTCCTTTTTTGGCAGCCTATAGGGTTCCCATTGGGAGATATCACAGGACAGAGCAGGGACAATCCAACCAAGCTGGGGGCATGTATTAAAAGTAGTATAGCTCTCTATAGCAGAGTTCCAAGGCCAGATTCAGGAATTGGGATGGGCCTCAGGCAGGAGCAAGATAGACTAATAGTTAATGGTCTCTCTGGCTCCCTGTAAAATTCCATTGAGAGTAATCCTGGTAAAGAGGTGGGGGGTGGGGATTGTAGAGAAATGTGCAAACGAGCCTCCATGGTGCTTCTCTTACTTTCTAGATCAAAAAGTCTTAACATAAAGTCTGCGACCTTGTTTTAAAAAAAATTGACAAATATTTCAATATAATTAGTTTCCTTTATAATCTTATGTATTTTATTTTATGCATTAAAAATTAATAAACCCTGCTCTAAATACTCTTTACCACAGTGTTTATGGAAGTGGTGACCCTAATCTATCTATTATTGTCACCTGTCCTAGTCTGACCTCTAGGGTGCTGCCAGTTCCCAATCCCTTGTCCTCAGTTGGACAAAATTCCTTTTCCCCCTTAGCTCATCAGTCAAAAGATTGAATTAAAAAAAAAGATTTTAGGGATTCGGACTGCACCTGTGATTTTCACTGGTATAGGAAACTGCATGGTGAGAAAATAGCCTGTAATAATACAAGTTGGCACCTTCTCTGCAACTTAAAATCTTAAAGAGTTGCTTGCCCAGCTTGTGCATCTTTGCCCATGGGAACACTTAACACATGATTACTGTGGGTAACATCAGTCAGGTCAACAAGCATTTATTAAGCACCTATTCCATGCCAGGCACTGTGCTAAGCATTGGGGACACAAAGAAAGGCAAAAACAGTGCCTGCTTTCAAGGAGCTTACAGTCTAATGGGGAAGACAATATGCAAACAATTATGAGCAAACAAGATTATAAATAAATATATACATATATTTGTGTATACATATATATGTATGCATGCACAGAAGCACACATACACACATATATACATACACACATGCACACACACAAACATATATATGCAAAATAAATTGGAGAGCATCTCAAAAGGACGGCATGAGCATTTTGGGGGACTAGGAAAGGCTTGTTGCAGAAGGTGGGACTTTAGCTGGTATCTGAAGGAAACCAGAAAAACTGGATAGTAGAGACAAGAAGGGGGAGAATTTGGTGAATGGGAGACAGTCAGTGAAAATGCATAAAATCAAGAGATGGAGTGTTGTGTGTAAGAAACATCAAAGAGAACAATGTCACTGATCATAGAGTATGTGGAGGGAAGTAAAGTATAAGATGGCTGGAAATGTAGGAAGGGGACAGGTTATGAAAGTCTCTAAAAGCAAAACAGAGGATTTTATATTTGATGATGGAGGAAACAGGGAGTTACTAGAGTTTATTGAATGGGGGTGGGGATGGGGCTATGGAGGAGGGATTGACATGGTCAGAGCTTCGATTTAGGAAGGTCACTTTGATAGTTGAGTGAAGGTTGGACTGGAGTGGGGAGAAATTTGAGGCAAGACCAACTAGCAAGCTATCGCAGTCCAGGCATGAAGTGATGAGGATCTGCATCAAGATGGTGGCAGGGTCAGGGGAGAGATGCTAAAAAGGTAGAATTGGTGGGATTTGGCAACAGATTGGATCTAGGAGTTGAGAGAGTAAGGAAATGAAGATGACACCAAGTTGTGAGCCTGGGTGACTAGGAGAATGGTCATACCACTGAGAATAATAGAAGTTTGGAGTGGGAATTGGAGGGGCAAGATAAGTTCAGTTCTGTACATGTTGATGTCTATGGGACATCCAGTTTTAGATATCTAAGAGACAGTAGGAGGTGTAAGACTGGAGATCAGGAGAGAAGTTGGGGCTCTATCCATTCACCAGGGTCATGACCATGCCACACTATAGATACGGACAGCATACTCTGGGAATTTTGCCTATGATGGTTTGGCGGATATATGTAGAGGAAGGAGGGGAAGGGGGATGGGAAGGAGAAGAGAAGAAAAATTTATCAAACACCTACTATGTGTCTGGCACTATGCTAAGTGCTTTTTACAGATATCTTGTTTCATCCTTACAACAACGCTGAGAGGTAGGCATTGTTATTATCCCCATTTTGCAGTTGAGGAAACTGAGGCAAACAGAAGTTAAGAGACTTGGCCATCTGAGGCCAGCTCTGAACTTGAGTTTTCCTCTCTCTAGGCTGGAATTGAGAATTTTGTGGTTGTGTTGTTAAATGGGTGATTTCCACCAACAATAAGGAAAACGTCACCTTACAATGTTACCCAGACCCAGGTTCAGGGCTTAGGAGCTGGTCAATACAATGGAACAGAAACTCTTTCAGACCAGGGGCTGCTTTTAATTTTCACACAGTGACTTTTACATGTCAATATACAGTACGTGCTTAGTAAAGTCTTGTATTGAAACGGATTTGTCCAGGAAGGAGACCAGTGTGACCGAGACAATAATCCTCAGCAGATTTAGGGGCAGAGTATGGAGATCAGCATGGGACACTGTGCCTGCCCAAGGTCCAGGCCTTACAACTTGAGTAGGAATGTGAGCTCTGACATCCAAGACCTAGCTGCAGCTTAGAGGAGTATCCCTGACAGGGAAGGATAAGTCAGGGAGGGCTTCCCAAAAGAGGTGAGTGTGTTGTGTTTGGAAGAGGTGAGGGGTGGAGGGGAGACAAAGCTCTGGCACTTGACATGGGGTCTGCCCTCCTAAAGACCTAGGGAACAAGGCACAGAAAATGATGAGAGCTTTCAACATAAGGTGGCCCCAGTAGGGATGGGCAGTGATGCCTTTGATGGAGTGGGCAGAGGGCATTAACTGGTGGGTCTGTTCCAGGTAACCCCAGAGTCGTTCTGTGAGCTGTGGATCAGAGACATCAAATATGTGCAGCAGCCCTGCGTGGCATTAACTGTGTATGTGGCTATGTGTCACAAATTCAACGTGTGCATTGAGTGGCGGCGCTCTGACTACTGCCGTGAGTTGGGGGTGGGAGGAAAGGAGAAGCTGCTTTGTTACCCCCCATCCACCAATCCTGCCTTCTTCTCTGTCTCCTCCCTCTTTCCCCTCACCCACCCTTCTCTAGTGGGATCTACTCTCATCAACCAAAATTTACCCTGAGCCAACACTTCCTGTATATATCTTGTATGTATAGTTTTTGAATGTCACTCCCGTTAGAATGTAAGATCTCTGAGGGCAGGAAAAATGTTTTACCTTTCTTTGCACCCCTAGCACTTAGCACAGTGTCTAGTACATAGTAAGTACTTAAAAAATGCTTTGACTGACTGCCTGACTTCCCTCCAGCCTTTTTGTGTCCTGGGGACTCCACCTATCAGGCCTGTGTGGCAGTCTGTGACAGTCCCAGGACGTGCCAGGATGGAGGGCGGGAACCCCCTGACCCAGAGCTCTGTTCAGTGCTTGGAGAAGGCTGTGTGTGCCCTGAGGGCACTGTCTTGCACAGGCTCCATTCTGCACTCTGCATCCCTGAGGAGAAATGCGGTAACTGCCAATTATGGGGTTCCACAGTCCAGCATGCAAGTTTGGGGGAGTTGGGGATCAGAGGCCATTGAAGTGGAGGGGCCCACAGACATATTCCCTGACTCTCTGATGCTGGAAAAGGAATGTCTAGAGCCCCAACCCAGTTGTCCTGTGCCAATCTGTAGGCTCTGACCAGCAGAATGGAAGCTCCCTGAGGGCAGGGACTGTTTGATTTTCAACTTTGTATCTCCAACACCTAACACAATGTGCCTGAAACATGGTAGTCAATACATGCTTGTTCATTAAATGGTTGGTTCCGAACTCAAAGTCAGGGAGGGGGGCTTTGGTAAGGGGGAGCAGGGGAAGGAGGCAGATATAGGAGGGACTGCGGAGGATACCCTGTGAGGTTTCATCTTTGGATTAGCACAGGGATGTGGGGGGAGAAGGGGTGCATCTCATCTCAGAAGAAGGCTCCTCTTCTCTAGACCACATAGTTGTTCCAGTGTCCTTGGGGACCATTCTCCCTAAACAGACTATCCTGACTCTGGAGTCAGAGGATTTGGGTGATGCTTACTACATGTGTGGCCTTGGACAAGTCATTTCTTTATCGCCTTGGATCTCAGTGGGCTGGCCTAGATTGCTCGTTGAGATTCTTTTCATTTCTAGATTTATGCACTATATGGCCCTTGTGAGTGTAGACTATGCCCTTCTCATGCTGAGTGGAGGTGGGAGAATGGGTGTCCCAGAGAGATCCCAGTGAGGCTAGGTCAGAGTTCTCCCAGCCTCCCTCACTTCCCTGCCCTCACAGCATGCACAGACAGCTTGGGTGTGCCCCGAGCCGTGGGTGAAATCTGGAACAGCTCACTCAGCGGCTGCTGCCAGGACCAGTGTGTGGCCCCCAACACTATCATCCCTGTGGATCTCGGCTGCCCTGAAACCCAGCCTGGTGGGTGCCAACGCTTCGGTGAAGTGGCCCTGCAGCTCCCCACAGAAGACCCCTGCTGCCTGAGCACAGTCTGTGGTATGTCTAAGTGAGGTCATGTGCTCACTGCTTCTGGGTCTCCCCTTGTGCATAATGGAGAAAAATAATCCTTGCCCTGACATCTCTCAGACTGGTGAATCACCAGTATTTCAAGGCTGGAAGGAAATTGAAAGATTATCTTGTAGTTATTAATTCATTACTATCAATATAATCATTCATAATATTTATATTAATCATTAACGTATTCAACAATACTGCTGTCACGATTAATATTAACATGTTATGTAGTTCAATCCACTAATTTTATAGACTTGCCCCAAATCTCAGTTTGTTAGCCGAGGACCTGGGATAAAAATCCAAGTCTCTTGGTACAAATTAGTTTTCTCTCTGCTGCGTTAGTGTTATCTAATTTTCTTCTGAAGCATCCCAATGACATAGTGTAAGACAATGGAAAGAATACTGGATTGAGCCAGAAGACAAGGATTTATCCTCAGCTTTGAGTGTCTTAAAGTCTAGACCATTGAGGAAGTATTCGCTTTTTTCTGCTTGTCCCCCAAGCATAGAGCTGGGATTGATGACTAGGAGTTGCCAAGAGGCATATTTGGGCTAGATGTGGGAAAAGATTTTCCAGCAATCAGAACTGTCCATGGGCTGCTTCAGGGGTTCACAGGCTTCCATTCAAGCCCACGCTGGACGACCCCTCATTGGGTGTGACGTAGAGGGGATTCTTGGTCAAGACTGGGTAGGACTTGATGGATTCTGAAATGCCCAGATGGTGCCTGAAAATTCTGGGATTCTGTTAATCTAAGTCAAGAACTGGCTTCACTCTTTAGCTTTCTATATGACTTTGGGCAACGTGTAAAATAAAGGGTTTAGACACTTCCCTTCTCTGGGGAAGAATTGGAAGACACTGAAGATGACAGCGGGAGAGGTTGTACATGATGTCACTTCTGTCGTGTCCTGCTTGGCCATTTGACTTTGGTAGTTGGGAAGGTTCAAACAGGGGTTGGGATGTATATTAAGAAATGATTGTGATGTGAAATACATTGATAAAGCTCTAAAAATGAAGGTGTTGGGTTAGATCATCTCTATGGATCCTTCCAGCTCTTAAAAAAAGATCTTGATTCTAATTATTAGTTTATGACTATTCTGTTATCTAATAGATATCTAACAATTTTATATATAGAGAGAGAAGATGGTAGAGAGTATAATTCGAAGTAGAGGACCCATGTCCCTCAAATCTATTAGACCAGAGGTTCCCAAACTTATTTGGCTACCACCCCCTTTTCAAAAAAAATTACTCAGCACACCCCACCCCCACTGGAAATCTTCTTTCTTTAACCCTTTAACTTTTTTTTTTTGAAATTTGCATCATTTCAAAAAATATATGAATTTTTTAAAAAATGATATCTTAAATTTAATAATTTATCTTAAATTTAATAATTTATCATAAATTTGTGGGGTTTTTCCTGCATGAAATTTTGATGATGCAATATTGTGTCATGTAACTGTATAATATTGTATTGTAAACAATTCATTACATGCTCATATTCCTGCCTGTGCATGCTGGACTTCCCCACAATGTGTCACATGCTCACCTGCCAACACTTGCTTGTTAAGATCTTTTGGTGGTAGGGCAGCTAGGTGGTGCAGTGGATAGAGCACTGGCCTTGGAGTTGGGAGGACCTGAGTTCAAATTTGGCCTCAGACCAAACCCTTGACACTTACTAGCTGTGTGACCCTGGGCAAGTCACTTAACCCCAATTGCCTAAAAAAAAAAAATTAAAAAAAAATCTGTTGGCAGACTTGACCATTAATTGGTTATAGCTTGCATTTTGTGTGTTTATTTGGAAAATAATGTAATCACTATGACTTTAGCTCTGTTACCCAACAGATGAAATTTTCTTCTCTTCTTTCTATGCTTCCACCTCCCCCTTATTTTTATTCAATGCCCCCCCAATTGCACCTGAGGCTACTACCACCTCCCCATCATTCTAGTGCCCCCAGGGGGTGATATTGCCCACTTTGGGAACCTATGTATTAGACTATAAGATCCTTGAGGGCACAGATTGTCATTCTTTATAAATAGCTGCATCATTGCATGCCCAGTGCCCAGAACAGCGGCTTGTTCACAGAAGGAGCGTAAATGATGGCATGGTTATGCCTGGAGATGGGGAGGCTGGTAAAGAAGTCTGGGTTCAGGGAAGCAGTGGGGCCCTTGGTTCCTCTGGGACTCCCATGGGGCTTGGGGCTCAGAGGATGTCCTACTGGTTGAGGGCACAATGTGGAGCCTAGCATATGGAGGCCAGTGGAGGTGGGCCAAGAAATGGGTAAGGGCAGAGATCAGGAGCCTTCCCTGAACATTAAGCCGGAAAGGGCTGGTTGGCTCTCTGAAGTCCTTCGCTATGACTGAAGAGGGCTGGGAAGTCCTCAGGCCCCCTTGGTGACTGTGTTCTGTTTTCTTGCATGGTTAGTGTGTAACCAGACACTGTGTGAGGGGCTGACCCCCACCTGCCCCCCTGGGGATAGGCTCCTCATGCACTACCAGGAGGAATCCTGCTGTCCCAGCTACACCTGTGGTAAGTGAGCATACAAACTGTGAGATGGGCCACTTGGAGATGCCTTCTTCCCTCTGGGAAAAGGGGCTCCCCAGGACCCTGGCCCTACTGAGTTAGGTGTCCCTCAAGGATAGAGGATGGAGATCTCATGGTGGGCACAGGTGGGGAAAGGAGACCTACGAGGGCCACATTTAATATTGTTTTCCCTGGATCTGGATCTGGGCTTGGCCAGATATCCCAGGGATGGGGCTCAGGGCTGCTTGACTTTTCACCAGAATGTGACCCGGAGCAGTGTGAGGCCCAGCCCGATCCTCAGTGTCGCCAGGACCAGGTGGTGATTGCTGGCCGGCTCGGGGACACTTGCTGCATCTCCTACTTCTGTGGTACAGTGGCTGTGGCATCTCTATTAATGAGGCAGGGTTTCCTCTTCCTACTCTCTACCCCTAGAGAAAATCAAACCCCTTCTCTCTGCATCATTGTGCTTCAAGATCAATGACTCCTTGACCAAAGCAGAAGGAGGCAACGGCTTATCTCAGTATCTCCAGTATCTGTGATGCCCACATTACACATCTGCAGGTCTTTTCCTCCCTACCTGGGCCGATGCTGTCCTGTTAAGAGAAGTAGCAAGAAAGGATTTTCTCCAGATGTAGGGACTGGTAGTAGGGGGCAGAGGGCCTGGCCATCTGCCCAACATCACAGACTGGTCTCAGTCCCTGTCACTGGGGAAGAATTGGAAGAGGCTGAAGATGATAGCATAGATAAAAGACAGTGGTATACAGAGCCTGGGAAACAGGAGACCCAGGTTCTAATTCTGAGACCTGAGATCAAATCCAGCCCCAGATACTTATGGGCTGTGTGACCCCGGGCAAGTCACTTAAAAAATAAACAAACCAGGGCAGCTAGATGGCGCAGTGGATACAGCACCGGCCCTGAAGTCAGGAGGACCTGAGTTCAAATCCAGCCTCAGACCAAACATTTGATACTTACTGGCTGTGTGACCCTGGGCAAGTCACTTAACCCCAATTGCCTAAAAATTTAAATTAAAAAAAATTAAAAAAAAAATAAACAAACCTCCATTTGCTTCAGTTTTTCCATCTATAAAATGGGGGATAAAAATAGTACCTACCCCCCAAAATTGTTGTGAGGATCAAATGAGATCATATTTATAAAGAACTTAGGCTTAGCACAGTGCCTGGCACGTAGTAAGTGCTATGTAAATGTTAGCAATAATAATAATTATTCTTATTCTTAGTCTTGGTTCTGCCATCTGTTCATTATGTGAGCTTAGGCAAGGTCACACAGGAGTACTTTCTGATTAAGCCCTCCCTAGGACAGGACCACCATAGGGCCTTGAAAACACCCTCCCTGTTTTGGGTGCAGACCTCCCTACTCTGTTTCTACTCTGCTCCAGGACTCTTGGGCTCTATGGTTAGCCACACTGGCTTCCAGAGCCTCCCTGTTCCAATTGATGTGGTCTTTTCTCCTCTCTTCCTGCCTATACAGCCTGTGACACTTGTCCAGACCCAATACCCACATGTCGGGAAGGGGAGGTGTTCACAGTGGACAGCGACACCGCAGAGCTGTGTTGCCCCGTCTATAGCTGCGGTGAGTCTGTCTTGGAGGGAGCTGTCCACAGGTATGAGGCATGGGACCTTCCATTGACGCTCTCTGCTGCCTGTGCCCTAGGTCCCTGCTAAAAAGCCCTGACTTGGGACCAATGGAGAGAGTGCCTTCCTCTTAAGGACACCCCATTAAGCACCTAAAGCAAATAGCAGACCTCCAATGCTTAGTACAGTGCCTGGCACATAGTAGACACTTAATAAATGTTTATTGTCTGATTGCCTGAATGCTTGAGACTTGGATTCAGGTTCCAGTTGTGCTTCATGCTAGCTTGCGTATCATTTTAGGGTAGTTGGAAATATTGTATTTTGTTTATTCTTGCAACAGGGTTACCCTTAAAAAAGTTTTACTGATCTGTTTTGTTTTTATATTATAAACATTTTTAGATTACCTCTACTGCTTGAGAAGTCTCTTGTAACAAATTATGACATTTAAGCAAAACTAGTAATAGAGTGATCTCATCTGCATGTACGTGCAACCTGCCACATCTATAGCCACCCCTCTCTACTTTTAAAAAATTGCCTTTTTAAAAATTCACAGAAACCAATTCTCTCTTCTTCTCCTCCTACTCCATTGAAAAAAAGGATAAAAAGCAAATTCCTCATAACAAATATGCGGAGTTAAGCAAAACAAATCCCCTTATTTGGTGCATACAAAAATCTCTGTTTTCATTCTGCACCCTGAGATAGCAGGGGTCATCATCGGTACCCTGAAATCATGGATAATAATTATATTGATCATTGTTCTTACAAATTTTTATTTTAAAAATGAAGAAAGATCTGGGGTGTTTTTCTTAGGAATATGGGGGCCCAGAATTTAGCCTTACATCACCGGACTGTTTTGGCTGGGGAGTGGGGTAGAAAGGTGGGAAATGAGTTGGGGAAGGGTAACTTAAGCTTAATAAAATCAGCACTAGTATGCAAATAATTTCAGTTACAAAATAGATAAATCAGGGGCATAATGGAAAAAAGAACAGAGCTCAGGGTTAAGAAGCCCTGGTTTTTGCCCCAGCTTCCACTTATTAGGCATGTCTGAGAGCCTCAGTTTCTTCATCTATGAAGTGGGAATGATAATTTTTGTACTATTCACCTCACAGGGCTGGTGGTAGGAGAATGTCTTATAAACTTTGAAGTCCTATAATAATATGAGCTATTATCAGGGACTGATTTGATTTACAGAAATTTGATTTTGGGAGGGTAGCCATTAAAGCCACTTCTCTCATCTTTTTTTTCCTCTCTTGTAACATAAACAAATGTTTGGGTTTCTAGCTCTAAGACCCCAGGAAACTGAACTGTCACTATAGTGAGGGACCCTAGCCAGGCCACCCTTAGGATAACTTTTGAACAAGGATCTGGTCCCCAGAGGTCTAGCTGCACTCATCTATTGGTTGAGCCAGCAAATCCAGTTACCCAGAAGGCAGGCATAGTCAACACTACATAGAATTGGGCACAGCCAAGGCTAGCCCATCCCTGCCCTCTCATCTGCCTCTTGTGCTCTTTCCCTTTTTCCTTCTCTCCCTCTTGTCATTTCTTCTAGGTCTTTCCAATTGATTTTAAAGCAAGTTTGTTCATCAGGAAAGTCAATGTTTCCGTCCCTGATGCCCTCCTTTACGCATTACATTCATGTCGATCAATCATCCCTGCTGAGATTATCACAAAGTCCAAATCCTGGAAATTAAATTTAAGGAGCTTTTTATTGGAAAGTCTTACATTATTAATATAAACACAGCACAAGAGCAAAGCCTAGGCCACCCAAAGATCCTTAGAGGCAGGCTGGAGAGATGAGCTCACTTGAGAAGTTTTAGGAGTATCTGATATGAAATTCTGTTTAGATACCTAGTCCTGTGTCAGGACATCCCCATGGTCAGACACTGGGTAATTACTTCAGTGTCCCTGGTCCAACCTATTCTCTTTCCCTGCCAGAATGCCAGAGTTTTCGCTGCCCCCAACTGCAATGTGGCTTGGGCACATCCCTGGTGGAGGTGTGGAGCCCTGACAGATGTTGCCCATATAAGTCATGTGGTAAGTGAACCCCTGAGCAACGATGCCTAGGCTGGAGGCATTGGCTGGCACCTGAACTCTTCTCTTTCTGGGTGCTCCCAGTCTCAAGGAGGTTCTGAACTTGGGTGATGCCATGGTGGTAGTTACTGAAATCTGACTACTTCTAAAGGGTTTCTCACAAAGGAGCATGGTAAACCCCTTACATTCCCATCACTCTCAGTGCTGATTCCTTTGTTCTCTTCTCTACCTGAACAGAAGAGAGTAGGAAACACTCCACAATGCACCTGGACATTTTCTAGTATTAAAACCTGTGATTTTTTTCCAATCAGAACACAGTCTCTTACTTAATGGGCCACCTTAAAAAAAAGGAGGATTAGATGCAAAATCCTTTTTTGTTAAAGAGCTTGGAGCCACAAAAAATACAAACTTATTAGTATATAGTTTTTTAAACACATTTTGTGTTTCTTTTCTTTAAAAAATGTTTTATTAATGGCTTCTATTATTACATTATCATCATTTCTACTTTGAGAGAACCTTCCCTTAACAGCACAAAAAACCGAAACCAAAACCAAATGACTGCACCAGGAATCTCACTCACCAGTGTAGGTAATGTTCTATGCCCATGGTCATTGGATTGGACATAATATCTGGGAGGGACCTTAGTAGTCATATAGTCTAAATCCTTGTTTTATAGATAAGGAGGGTGAGGCCCAGAGAGGTTGCTCTAGGTCACACAGGTAATATACTACAGAGTCAAGATGTGAACTCAGGTCGTCTGATTCCATAGGCAGCGCACATTCCACTGAACTGTACTGTCCTCCACCTTTCGAATGAAAGGAGAGCAGTACATTTCCTCATTTCTCCTCTGGGACCAAGCTTGATCATTATAGTTATATATAACCTGGAAAAAAAGATTTTAAACAGAGAGAAAGACAGGAAGAAGTTTTTATGCCACTTATCTTTGAAGACTAATCTCCAGAGGTAGAGAGTGTGGCTGCATATTGAAACATCTATCTCATTGCATCGTCCCTGCCCTCTGTCCTTTCCCTCTGGTTGAAAAAGCTTCGGTGTTCATTTTCCTGGGTTCCAGAACACTCTCTATTTCCCTACTCTGGGCTACAACTCAATGGGGAAATGGAGTGAGAGCCTGAGGCCTTTTCTGGAGGGCTGTGTACATATCTGATGACCTGGATGTAGGAGTCAAGGCTCTGGGATTGTGGCCTTGGTACCAATGGGTAGCAACTTGGCTTGGCTGTCCCAAGCTAAACCTGGTTCTGGCCCTTTCTATCTTTCAGAATGTGACTGTGACACAATCCCTGTACCTAAGTGCCACCTGGTAAGTACCCTGTGCCTCTCTTTCCTTTGCTCCATATCTTGGGTTCTCCTCTGTCTTTTCCCCTCAATTATTTCCTGTTGACTCTTTCCTTTAATTGAAAGTAAAGAAATGGTGGGAAGAGGCTCTTTCAGGAGTTAGGAGTCAGGCTTTGCCATTAACTTACTCTGTTTTCTTGAACAAGTTAAAAAAACACAAAACAATACAGAATATTAAAACTAAAGATGCCTATCTGTTTTTCCAAATGTGGAAACTGAGTTCCAAAGAAGGGAAAGGCTTTTCTAAGGTCACGCAGCAAGTTAGTGGCAGGGTCAAGATGAGAACTAGGCCCTGTGACTCCTATGACAATGCCCTTTCCCCTCTCCCCCAAACTGCGCATCTTTGTCTCTCTGGGCTTCTGTTTCTACATCTTTAAAATGGGAATGATGAACTTTGACCTGCGACCCTCTCAGGGATGGATTCCCAGGTGTGCTTTGGATGAATCTGTCCCTTTTTCACTGATTGGCTAGGCTAAGAGGTTAGGAAGAAACACAGTTTCCCTAGGACTGCCAGGCCACCTCCCAGTGTCTGGTAGAGAAGGAACAGCAGCTAAGGCAGGGATGCCCAGATACTCTCCTACTGCTACGCCAGGCAGAAAGACTGGGTAGCCGTAGGAGATTGATACTGACCTCTGTGTGCATACAGTGGGAGCTACAGCAGCTTGATACAGAGTTTACGCAGAGTGCTGAGAATGTTTGCGATTGTGTCAAGTACAATTGTGGTGAGTGAACATGGGAAACAACAGGGTGTTGGCAAGGCCTATTCAGGTCCAATGGCTCCGCCAGTCTCCATCCATGGTGAGGGAAGGAAGTCTCCCTTTGAAGTGACAAACCTGTGACCACCAGGGATGGGGTGGTTGGGTTGGAAGTCAGTGTGGAGGGCCTATCCTCCTTCCCCTGGATCATGGCTGTGATCAGTGTGTGCCCCTCTATGACCAGTGAAGGCCCCAGTCTGCTTAAGCCGGGAACGTGGAGTCTTGCAGCCTGGCCAGAAGGTGGTAGAACTCTCAGCTGATGGTGTCTGCAGAACCTCCCATTGTACTGATGTGCTTGACCCCCTTACCAGCTTCTACCAGATCAACACTACATCTGTCCTGTGTGATGTACAGTGTGAGGAGGTAAGACTCCACATACATTATGACTTTGGGGGCCTGGTGGGAAACCTTCCCTTTTCTTCTGGGATGCTAACTAACTTCAGGGGTCCATAACCTCCCAAAGCAGGAAATGAATGAATGAATGAATGAATGAATGAATGAGAAACCATGTCCTGATCAAGGATTCTAAGTAGGAGGAAAATGAATGTTTCATAGGAATAGACAGAAGGTGGAAAATGGCTAAGGAAGGAAAGTAGGGTCAGAGTGAACCATTAACCATGAACTATGACCCAGAGGACTGTTCTGGAGGGTGTAAGGCTGAGCCAATACTCCTGCAGTATCTGGAGGATAATGTCCAGTTGTTCCCTACCTCCATGGGAGTGTGTGTGTGTGTGTGTGTGTGTGTGTGTGTGTGTGTGTGTGAGAAAAAGAAAGAGAGGGGAGGAAGGAGGGAGGGAGAGGGGGGAGGGGGAAGGAGAGTGGGAGGAAGGAAAGGAGGGAGAGAGAGAGAGAGAGAGAAGAGAGAAGAGAGACAGAGACATAGAGAGAGAGAAAGAGAGAGAGAAGGAAAAAGAAAGGAAGATAAAGAGAAAGAAGGAAAGAAAGGAAGGAAGGAAAAAGAGAAGGAGGGAAGGGGAAAAGGAAGGAAGGAAGGAAGGAGGGAAAAAGGAAGGAAGGAAAGAAGGGAAAGAAAGAAGAGTACATCAGGTAGAAATGCAGCAAGAAGATTTTAAGTTGGATACTAAGAAGATACAGATCTGAACCTTAGAACAGGCAACTTTATCAGTCCCTGGAGTTAGATGTGGTCTGTCCTGGAGACTGCAGAGACTGAGATACATTCCCATGTATCTCAGAAAGTCTCTTGTTCTGTTTCTCCTGTATCCTTTCTGAGTCCTGTGGCAACTTGGAAGCTGTGCAAGATCCTTGGGAAGGCATCCATGGTACCATTCAGGGGAGAGCTGGCAGGTACAGGGTTAGGTGTCCCAGGGTGGAATTGACTTGGCTGAATTTTCAGAACCAGGAGTACCAGCCTCCTCAGGACCTGGCTAGCTGCTGCGGCTCCTGCAGGAATGTGTCCTGCCTCTTCACATTTCCCAATGGCACCGAGGTCACTTTCCTGGTGAGCCCTTCCTCTTCCCCCAGCCCCACCCCCCCAATGACTCCATGGAAATAGTCTTGGTCTAAGCCTCTCTCCTTTCCCCCCTACCCCTGGGCCCAAATTTGATCCCAGTTCTCTCTTCTCGAAAAGTGAGGACCAGCAGTGCCCAGAGGACTGAGCGTATTTTGGGCAGGGCTAGGGAGCATGTGTTAAGCCATACAACAAAGGAGTTTTTTTTTATCCAGGGGTTCCCCCTCAACCCCCGATGCTCATTTGTTTGCATCCTACATTCATTTAATGCTTTTGCCTTTCCAAAGTACTCTCCATTGGTTGTACCAATTGAATGTGAACTCCTTGAAGGCAGGTAATATTTCAGTTATGTTTCTGTATTCTCAGCATCAGTTAAATCAGGGTTACCAGCATTAATTAAGTGCTTATTATATGCCAACCTCTGTTCTGAGTTCTAGGGACATGAACAAAGGCAAAAAGACAATCCCTGTTCTCAAGGAGCTCACACTTTAATGGAGAAGGTAGCGTACCAATAACTATGTACATATAAGATGTATACAGTATAAATGGAGGTTAGGATCAGAGAAAAGGCATGGGGGTAGAAAGGGAGACTGGAAAAGGCCTCTTGCTGAAGGTGGGATTTGAGTTGAGTCAGGGGAAGTCAGGAGGTGCAAGTGAGGAGGGAGAGTGTTCCAGCCACAACCCAGTGCCTGGTATATAGTTGGCACCTAATAAATGCTTGTTGATTGAGTCTCTTAATGACCTTGTGAAAGAAGTGGGGTATATCCACTTTGCAGAGGACATTGAGACTCGGAAATGGTGAGTGACTTTCCTGAGGTCACACAGCAAGTTCCAGTCTCCTTCTGGGTATCAGTTTCCTGGGGGTCAGATGAGATGACTTCCAGCTCTAAGATTCTGCAGTTTTATAGAATTAGTGGCAGAATCTGGACCAGAACCCAGGTAATCAATACTCTTTTTTTTAAACCATCAGACATAGTGAACAGACACAGACTAGTAACCTAGAGGCCAGGCATGGCAGAAACAGTTTAGTGCCCACCAGTAGGGTAGTTGCATCTCACATAAAGCCTTCCCCAGTCCTCAGGGAATGGTTACTTTGCACAGACCCTCTGGGCCAACTGTCCCTTACACATCTCACTTCCAGCCTGGAGCATCTTGGATCTCAGACTGTGCTCGTCATGACTGCAGCAACACAGCCCTGGGCGTAGTCCTGGTTGTGTCCCCTATCACCTGCCCACCCCTCAATGAAACTGAATGTGGGAAGGTAAGGGCCATGGAAATGGAATACTCAGGTGGACCACTGACCTGGGGCATTGTTTATGAGAGCTCCCCAGCCCCTCAAGTTTCAGTTTCCTTCTCGGTCAGAGCATAACCTACAGCATGAAGGGACAGAAGGGAGATCTCCCTTCCTTCCTATCCTGCTATACAGCAACCTCTCCATCCATCCATCCATCCATCCATCCATCCATCCATCCATCTGTCCATCCATCCATCCATCCATCCATCCATCCATCCATCCATCCATCCATCCGTCCATCCATCTGTCCATCCATCTACCCATTCCATCCATCCATCCATCCATCCATCCATCCATCCATCCATCCATCCATTCATCCATCTGTCCATCCATCTACCCATTCCATCCATCCATCCATCCATCCATCCATCCAACCATCCATCTATCCAAATCCCTCCCAAGGCACTGCACACATAGATTCTACTGCTGATGTTCAAGGATTGTCAGTTAACATCTAGAACTTAGCTTAGGAAATCGGGGTGAGACATCATGGCCTTGGAGGCAGGAAGATCTGAGTTCAGATGCCATCTCTAGTGTACACTGCTTATGTGACCCTGGGCATATCAATTCCAGGCAATTCTCTAAGAACACACATTGCAGAGAAGGTAGAGAAAATTTCTTCACCAGGATCTCTGTTTGTCAATGAAATCACAATGAAATATCCCTCTTCGTGGGAATGAATATATTATTCATGCCTCAAGGGAAGACTTTTCTCTTCTGGTGTTTGGGCCTTAACTTGGACTAATGTTGAAACAACTGTGGCTGTTGAACCTCAGGAAAACTTAGGAAGGGGCATCATAGCCTTCTTCTCATAAACAAAGGTCTGTCACTGGGACGAAGGATACGCCTTGACTGTTTTGACCCCAAAGGACAGAACTAGGGGCATTAGGGCAAACCCACATAGTGGCAGATATAGGCTCAGTGTAAGGGACATGGTCTCAATATTTTTTTAATATCCTCAAGTGTAAGCGGCTACCTTGAAAGGTAGTGAGTTCCCCACCACTGGAGGTATTTAAGCAGAGGCTAGGTGTCAGGGTTACCAGAGAGAGGATTCTGGTTCAGGTCTGGGTGAGATTCATTGCCTCAGATGCCCCTTTCCAGTTTGGATTCTGTGTGATACCAACCAGTTTCTGAATATTACTTGTGATCCATAGATATATACACATACATACATATATACATACACACTCACATACCTACATACACAAACACATTCTTTCTCAGGGGAGATCATAGCAATGGGATGGGTTTTCATGTCTCAAAGATTCCCAGCCCCCAGACACCACTTCTCTCTTCTCCACCTCTACCTCCTTTGTATATGCAGAATTAGAACCTTGGTCTCCTGACTCCCAATCCAAGCCTCTTTTGAGCACATCGCTCCCTCCCCAGAGTTGGTGCAGACAGCCACAAATGTAGGACTGTGGAGCCCTCTCTGAATCTAGGGGGTCAACAATTAGTGTTGAAGAAGAACAGTGGCCTTGGATGACCAGAGAAGGGGCCTAGGACTGGAGAGGAAGGGAGGAACTTGAATAGGCGCAGGTAATCACTCAGGCAAGGCCACATGATCATCCCCCAGGACCGAGGCTTCTCCCCCTGCCCACACCCATACCCACCTGTCCCAAGCCTCGTGTAGATTCATGCAAGGTAGTCAAGAAACACATCAGGGCTTTCACAGGAGGACCCAGGGCACGTGTTCTCTAGTCATCTCTGGCTGCAGAAGCCAGGAAGAGGAGAGGGGCCTGACCCTAGAGTGGGTTCAGAGTGTCCTAAGGTAAACAGTGGGGGCAGGAAGGGGAAACAGGTATTTGACCTGAATTATCAGGATGGTCTCCACACCCTTAACTGTGCTCTGGCCTCAGACCCTGAGCATGAAGATACTTTCCTAGGCAACGTCTTGGTAAGCTTTTGGGGTCATACCTATGGGTAGCTTGAAGTAGGAGCATCAGATGCTCCCAGAGTTGATCTCCTGCCTCTATCTCACCATCTTCTTCTTTATTTAGGTGGGGGGCTCCGTGGTACCTTCTCTGGAAGGATGCTGCAGGACATGTGAGTATTCCAGCCCCTACCATGACTCCAAAGGGACTCTGGGACTGGGTAGCACAGTGCTGGGGAGAGTTTTCTGTTTTCCTGGTGGGATCCAATAGATTCCGCCTGTAGAGCTTCAGGTGAGACTCAAGAACATTGGCTGCTCAGGTATGATTGGGCACAATTATTCTATGTACCACACATCTCTTATTAGGGGTGACACTCCTGAGCACTTGCTAAAGCCAGCCTTGTGCATCTTGTTAGAGAACCAAGCAAGCAAGCACACACCTATAATATGCCTCCTGCATGCCAGGCACCATTCTAGGCACTGAGGATACAAAGATACAACAAAAGGATACAATGGATGAAACAATCCAGATTTTCATTGAGCTTATGTTCTAACAGAGGAGATGAGAATGCACATAAGAATAAAAACAAAGTAGTTAAATCCAAGGTAGTTGGGGGAGGAGCGAATTAGAGGAGAAGGAGGAGTGCTGTGGGAGATCTGGAAAGACTTCATGCTAAAGACGGTGTCTGGGGGGCGGCTAGGTGGCGCAGTAGATAGAGCTCTGGACTTGGAGTCAGGAGGACCTGAGTTCAAATCAGGCCTCAGACACATAACACTCACTAGCTGTGTGACCCTGGGCAAGACACTTAACCCCATTGCCTCATCAAAAAAAAAAAATATGGTGTCTGATCTGCATCTTAAAGGAAGAAAGTAATTCTATGAAGTGACATAAAGAAGGCATGGGGAGGTGGGGTGGGGGTGGTGGTGACCAGTGCAAAAGCATGAGGTTGGAGATGAAGTATGAGTGAGAGACAGACAGAGAGGCCAGTTTGGCTGGACCATAGAGTATAGGAAGGGGAGTGATGTCCAAGGAGGTTGGAAAGGAGAACCCTGGTCCCCAGTTGCTCAGAAATCTGTCGTGTCTCCTGGAGGAGTCTTTATACTTCTTCCATGGCCTTGTGATGCAAAGGAAGGGAAAGAATAGCAACTCTGGAGTCTGAGGATGCGGGTTCAGATCCCACCTGTGCTGCTTACTGCCTGTGTGATCTTGGGAAAATCACTGAACCTTGCTGAGCCTCGGTTTTCTTATCTGCAAAGTGAGGGAGTTGCACTAGGTGACCTCTAAGGTCTCTTCTTGCTCAAAGTCTGTGATATCCTGTGATTCACAGGCTGCTATCTGTGTTTCCTTCTCCTCCCAGAAGGGCAGTTGTCCTCTGAGTGGCTCAGAGCACCCTCGGGCCATGGCCCATTCCCCACTTGCCCCAGAGGAGAGATCAAGGAGATCTGCCCTGGGCTTCCTCCAGCCACACATTCTCGTTACTGGCTGCCTGGCCCATGGAACCTTCCTAAGCAGCTTTACCTTGTAGACCAGGTGAACCCCCAAGAGATCTGTGGATAGATTTCTAGTGCCCATGAACTTGGAAGGGAAAAGAGTTACTTCTTGATTTCTATATAATTGTAATACTGTATTTTATTTCATGCATTTAAAAACATGATTCTGAAAAGGGGTCCATAGGCATCACTAGACTGCCAGAGGGGTGCAAATGACCCAAAAAAGGTTACTGTCCCAGACAGATCGTTTCTGTGGGTGGGCCCCCAGATCCCCTTAAGGGCAGGTCAAGTTGGGGGATGCAGGTGGCCGGAGTGTATGATCACTTCACCTTCCCCTGATCCCAAGGCCCTGCCCCCTGTTTCCCTCCTGTTACCTGTCCCCCTCCCTCCACTTTTCCTCATTGGACCCTCTCTCCAGTCCCCTGATTGGATCACCCTCCTCTTCCCTCATGACCCATTTTCCTCACCCTCTGAGTATGACCCTGTCCCACTCTCCTCAGGTTTCCCGGGGGCCCTGTTTCTGCTCCCAGTTAGCCCTGCCTCTTCTCCAAGGGTTAGTGCCCGCTGTCACCCAGGTCAGTGGGAATGAAGGCGAAGTGGCCTTCCATTGGTGATTCTGAAAATGGCCCCTCTGCTCATGGAGCCCTTGGCCCTCAGCTCCCTAGGGAAAGGGCAGGAGGGAGGGCTGGGGGAGGGGAGGGGAGAATTTGAGGCTTGGTGTTCCTGCTTCCAAGGCCTTTCCCAGATCGTCCCTCTGGCGGCGCCTGGTCTTCAGATGTGGGCAGTGAGCTGGCCCCCAAAGCATGCATGTGTGCACCCCCATAGTGCTCACTTCCTACGGTCCACACAGAGACTAAACGCTGCTTTGCTCCTGCTTCTTGCTGAACACCTCCAGGATGTGGCTGCATCCTCCAGGCCTGGGGCCACTCAGGTTAAGGACTATTAACACATCCACCCACTTCCACCTGAACTGCTGTAGAATGATTAAGCCATAAGGATCAATTGGATTTAATTCAATTCAACAAAACATTTTTTAAATGGGGGGAAACTGAAATAGACTGAGTGATTTGGCCAAGTCTCCTTTGGCTGAGTGGCAGGCTAGGTCCTGATTTCATGACTCCCAATCCAGTGTTCCTTGCCCCAGGTCCCGACGGATGCCTCATTGCTGCAGGATGTCCCATTGCTGGACAGCCACTCTCCCAGTGGCCTCCTCCACCGTCCCTGCTCACATTCCTCAACCTCCCTTACAGACTGGTGCCCAGCATTGAGGGTTTCAAGGACTCAGGCTCTCTGGGTTCTTCCTCACTGCCAAGCCCCAGATACATGGCTTGCTAGTTCTTTCCCTTCAGATGGGGATTCTCTTCCTCCCACGGAGTCAGGCCCTGGGAGCTGTGAGGGGTAGGGGATAGTGGTGCATGAGTTGAGAGTAGCTCAAAAGACTCAGTGCATGACAGTTAAGTGCCCGGGAAATGCCCACCTTCCCCTTCCTTACCCCTCTTCTGCCCCAGGGGGCAAGAAATTTGGGTGGTTGGGTCAGCCTCATTCAGCTTTCCTTGCCCTTCCCCAGGTAAGGAGGATGGGCGGTCCTGTAAGAAGGTGACTGTCCGAATGACCATCCGGAAGAGTGACTGCCGAAGCAACACACCGGTGCGCTGTAGGGCCCTGGGGACAGAGGGAGAGACCCTGGCGTGAGGGGCAGGTCGGGCCAGAGCACCACATTTGGCTTCATCGGGGATCGAGAAGCCAGGCTGGGAGGAGGAGAATGTCGGGATGGGCTGGGTTGGGTGGTTCTGGTGGAAATTGGGCAGCTTCCCCAGGCCTCCCATCCCGGCTGTCTGCCTTAGGTGAACATTGTGAGCTGTGATGGGAAGTGTCCCTCTGCAAGCATCTACAACTACAACATCAACACCTACGCTCGCTTCTGTAAGTGCTGCCGCGAGATAGGCCTGCAGCGGCGCTCGGTGCAGCTCTTTTGCACAGGAAATGCCTCCTGGGTACCTTACACCATCCAGGAGCCCACAGACTGTGCCTGCCAGTGGTTCTGAGACCTTTATTCCAAGGAAGAGCTGGCTAGTGGCCCTTCTCCTCCCCCCTCCTCCAACTTACCTGATTCTCCAAGGGTCACAGGGATATTCCCCTGGCTCCTGCCCCTTCCTTGCACCCTTGCAGGGTGATGGGGCTGGGAGAAATTTCATCCCCATGTCCCTCAGATGCACAGGGACCCCTGGCCATGGGCTACTGTAGGGGTCAGGAAAGCCGATCTCAGCTGGTGAGCAGAGCTCATCACAGAAAGGCCTGCCCTTCCCCTGCTTTCTGCTAAGGACATTGTCTTGTACAGTTTGATTACAGCTTAGGGCAGAGGCAGGGGGATGGATTTCTACCCTAGGAGAGGCAGAAGGCCAGTTGTGCCCCTCATTCCATTCTTGCTAGGGTTGGAGGGAGGGAAGACATAATGTAGAAGTCAGAAAATTGGCCACCTCTGGTCACTTTGCCCTTTTAGCTGAACAAAGACATGGATGATAGGATCCCATTGGCCCACGAAGGCTTTAGTTTAGTTGTTAACATCCTGGTTGTGAGAAGGAGTAGATTTACTGCAGCAGATGGCCCAGGGAGGTTGAAGGGGGTTGAGAGAGGGAATTTCTGCCCTTGGAGGAATCCTATGAGGACAGGGTGCCTGCTGGCTATCTCTGGTCCTTCTGAGGGGCAGGGGAATTGACTTAATGGTCTAGAGAACCTCTCTCACATCAAGGAAATACTGCCTGATTCTCAATTATGAGCATTTTTATCTAGGGAAGCATTTAAAAGTCTAGGCATTTACATACTATTCCTCATATCGAGCCCCTCCTTGATGCATGGTAGGAAGGGCCTGGTAGAAGCCCGTGGCCTTCTTCATGGCTTAATGGGGTAGTTGAATGAGAAAAAGAAATGATTCATTCTTTAGGGGACTCCAGGCTAGATGAAAGCTATCAAACTCCAAAGTAGCTCATCTCTCTCAGAGGTATTTTTCTCCCTCATGATGCCTCTGAACGCTCCCAGGGGTTTTGCTGACTGGCCACCTTTGATCTTGGCCTTCAAACGAACCTTCCAGTCCCTGTAACACTTTCTGATGTGAGACTCCAGAAATGTTTTGCAGAGAAATCCAGCACAGGGGGAGACAGAGTTCCTAATCTCCCCCATTTGCAGAATCTCTAGCTCTGAAGGCCTTAGGGTTTTTCTCCCAATGAAACAGCTTTCAAGATGGAAAACGGTAGTGCTTCTAGCATACTTATTGCCTGAGAATTTGGCCCAAAGTCGACTGCTGAGCTTGGGGATGCCCTCCCTAAACTTGGCCTGGCAAACTTGGCGCTAGGCCAGGGGAGCTCAAGCTTCTGCGTCTCTTCCCATGCCCACCCTATGCCTCCAGCTCCTTGTCCAGCCTGGGAAGGGCAAACCTACTGGCCAGTCATGAATGTCAAGGCCTTGCCTTGCCCTTTCAAGTTTCCCTGTAGGCCTTTCCTAGATCCCTGGAGATGCCTACTGTTGAGGAAGGGGCTGCACCAAGATAAAAGGAACACAGGCTTTTTGCCACTTGCAAATTTTTACATCCATGTCATTCTTCTGCATCCAATAAATGCCAAGAAGAAAACTGAGAAGCACATCAAGAGTGTCAAATTGTCTTTGGTTTGACTTTGGTTTGACTTTGGCACAGCTCAATTAAGGCACCATATTGGAGGCTAGGGCCAACTTGGCTATAACCATCTTGTTACAGGGTTAGTATTGGGGGGCATACCCTCTGGTTGAGGAGAAAGGGGTCCCCTCTCTGACCAGCTTACTGAAAGGCGCAGTGTGTTATGGTGGAAGGAGTGCTGCACTTAGAATCAGAAGACCTTTGAGATTGAATTTATCCTCAGGAAATTACTAGCTACATGACCCCAGGCAAGTCAACTCCTCTACCTTAGTTTTCTCATCTGTAAAATGGGGATGATAATAGCATTTTTGTCATGAGGCTCGAATGAGATCACTTGGTAAAGTGCTTGCCTAGCCTTAAAGCACTCTATAAATGAGAGCCATTATTATTACTGTCCAGATATACTTCCTCTGATGAGAACATCAGGATTTAGGACATTTCACTTATTTGGAAGATTGGCCAGCACCACGAAGGCCATTTCTTCCTTCACTGTCCTACTGCAGGACAGGTTTATGCACAAGTAGAGAACTGACTCTCCCCGACTCCCCAAAAAAATCTCCAGCCAAGTGATGATGGAATATAGGGCCCTGTAGCCTAACCTGTCATCATGGGGAGCATCTCAGAGACAGAAAGGGGACCTTAGAGGCAGCTAGGTAGCACAGTGGATTGAGCACTGGGCAATCAATCCCCTTAGGGGTGTTTTGGTCAAGAGTGTTGTACCTGGAATCAGGAAGACCTGAGTTCAAATCCGGCCTCGTACCCTTACTGGCTGTATGACCCTGAACAAATCACTTAACTTAATCTGTCTCAGTTTCCTCAATTGTAAAAAGAAGATAATAAAAGTATCCACCTCCCAGCTTTGGTGAGGATCCAGTGAGATAATATTTGTAAAGCACTTAGCATGGTGCTTGGCACCTACTTAATAAATGCTTGGTTCTTTCTTTCCATCTAATCTAGCACCCTCACTTTCTAGATAAGGATCCTGGCCCAGAGGAGGTTAGAGCTTTGTTCAAAGTCACACCCACCATAAGTGGCAGATTCAAGATGTCACCCTGGCAGTGGGTGAGGTGCAGTGCCCAGGGTTGACAGCCTCTGACAGTGTGTGTGGTGGTCCTGACGCCTTTCTGGCAGGTGGAAATTGAGGGTGGTGCTGGCTGCTGACCCATGGCGGGGGGCACCTGGGGGGAGTTGAACAAGAAGACCTCCTCCAGTGTCCCTTCCAGCTAAAGCTCCATTACCCAATGCCCCAGCAAACTGGTTTAGGTTGAGGAGGAGTGTGGGAGAGAGGCGTATACACCACAGTACACATGGGATGGGGATGTGTGATCCAGCACCTGAATGTGTACCAGAAGCTTCTCATTCACATTCCACCTTTGGGACTTGTTTTGTCCATGGCTACTGTCTCTGGTGCTCAGGATGATGGACTGGTCGGTTCCTGGGGAATTGTGCTTCCATCCCTATCATATGACCCCGAGGAATAGTCCCCCCCCCCCCCGGAAAGAAAATGCTATAATCAGCCACCCTTCACTCTCATTGGGTGCCGCCCCCACTCCGCAGACCTATTTAAGCCTCCAGTCTCACAGTCCTACCAATGAGAACTTGGGTTTTCCTGGATCTCCAGCTCATATTACAGATGAGGAAACTGAGGCAAATAGGGTTAGGTGACTTGGCCACACTGCTTGTAGTGTCTGAGGTTGGATTTGAACTCAGGAAGATGAAAGCCCAGTGCTGTATGCACTGGGCCACCTAGTGGCCCTTTCCCACATAGATAGTAAATATCTGAGGCCTAATTTAAACTCAAAATAAACTACTCACCAAAAAATCTTTTTCACTCCTTTCCCTCCCTTTCTCTTTCCTTTCATCTCATGACTCAACTCATGCTTCCTTTTCCTCGTCTGCTGACTCTTCCTCCTCTGACAGAAAAGTAGTCAATTGTAATTCAATTCTCTCCTGTGCTCTGAGCATGCTGATGTATAAGTCCAACAGTTTGTGGGCCTGGCTAAGGGTGAAAAATGTCCTTAATGCATTATATATACATAGACATTTTTTTTCATAGTAGTCAAAGTCATCATGAATTTACAGTCTTGTTTCTATGAGAGCCATGCAACAAAACCCAATCTAGTTAGGATGAAAAGTGTAAAGAACAGTGTTGCTAGCACTGGTTAAGCGGATGATAAATTATTAAAGATCTCAGTTTGTCCATTGGCTCTCACATTTATTTACATGCTGAATGTTGATACATTGCTAATATGGGTTGTGCCAAGCTTTTGTAAAGTTTAACCTCTATTGACCTGGAGCCTGCAAGTTGAATTCTATACCTGGAGATGTTGATACTCATTGGGATTTTGATACTCATCAGCCCTGAAGTTACCTGGTTGCTTCTGACTGTGATAATCCAATCAAGAGACAACTCTTAGGAACCCAGACTGGGAGAGTTGATCAATGGTGATAGACGGAGAGATCTTCTGACATGATGAATCAGGACCAGAAAGTAGGGAATTCAACATTTGTGAAGGTGGTAACCTAAGGCAATACTTTCTAGCCCCTGCTTTGCTTCCCCAGAGCATCAATTCGTAACAGCCGTTTGACCGTTTTGACCCCATTTGGTGAGGTCTCTCGGAGTGCATTGTTTTTGTTGGCAGCTAGGTGGCACAGTTGGCTAGAATTAGGAAGACCTGTGTTCAAATGGAGCTTTAGATACTTAGCTGTACGACCCTAGGCAAGTCACTTAACCCTGTTTGCCTCAGTTTCCTCATCTGTAAAATGAGCTGGAGAAGGAGATGGCAAACCACTCCAGTATCTTTGTCAAGAAAACCCTTATGGGGTCATGAAGAGTTGGACACAACTGAACTACTGTATGACAACAAATTTGAACCCAAGTCTTCTTGATTCCAGGTCCGGAGCTATACTACTACTACTACTGCTACTACTACTACTACTACTACTACTACTACTACCTAACATTTATATAATGCTTACCATGTGCCAAGCACTGTGTTAAGTGCTTTACAATTATTATCTCATTTGATGTACACAACAACCCTGGGAGGTAGATGCTATTTTTACCCCCATTTTACAGATAAGGAAACTGAGGCAAACAGGAGTCAAATAATTTGTCTAGAGTCACATAGCTAGTACATGTCTGAGGCTGGATTAGAACTCAGGTCTTCCTGACTCCAGTCTGAAGGCTCAGATTTCCAGACTTCCAGCCTCCTTAGGGGACTGCTCCATATAAACAGTGTCCTTTTACCTAGCAGGTGGTAAAAAGTGATGGATTAGAAGTGAAAGGGGCTGGGTCCAAATCCCAGCTCTGCTACATAATTCCTGCATGACCTGAACAAGCCACTTCTCTCTGAGCCTTAGTTTCTTCATCTGTAAAACAGTGCAGGTGGCTCTTCCCAACTCTGAAGCTAAGATCCTTTCAATGTCTGTTCAATGAATGGGTAAGTGGGAACCTTTTAGGAGTGTGATGAGAGGTTTAAGGCAGTGTGGTGAGTAGCAGTGGCCATGGTAGACAGACTGATTGATGGACCCTTCCCTCAGGCACAATGCCGTTCCACTGCTATCTCAGCCTCCTACCCTGTCCTCTAATCTTGCTGCTGTCCTAATCCCTAATGTCCAAACTGCAAGGTGCCCCAGAGGTCATTAGGCTCGGCCTTATTATGTTGGAGAAAACTTGACAGTCTAAACAAGATTAACTCATTTAAAATCAGGGAATTTATGGTCCGATTTTACCAATAATTTGCTGCGTGGTTTCTCAGCATGCTACATACTGCTCAGTCTCAGTTTCCCCATCTGTAAAATTGGGGGGGGGGGTTGGATGCTTAGTCTTTAAGGGCCCTCTGAGCCCTGAGATGCTGAGAATCTGTGATTGGTCAGGGAACGTGCTTCTCCAAGGCAACCACAAATGATAAGCTGAGCTAGGTCGAGGACCCGGGCTTTCTCTCTCCAGGCACTGAAATTCCCTTCTGGAAAAGGGTGAAACCTCCCGTGACATGTTTTACAAACACGAGGGACCTTTAGCTTGCAGAACAATCCCATTCTCCTCAGTCCCGTTTCAGGTTCCCACCCTGATTTTCTGGGCTTAATCGTCTTCCTGTGGAAATCAGTAACGACATTGTGATAGAATGATTCACGTTCAAGGTCAAACCAGAGCAAATTGGAGGCGACATGCTGACTTTCTTTCCCCCAACCCACCACCCCCCCACCACTTGAAAGAGGATCCCTTCAAAAATGTGTAAAAGCCAAGGAAGGGTGTTAACTCTTGCCTTCCCGAAGCCTTGTCCTGCTGGCCTCAGCGAAGGCTAGTGATAAGAAGTTATAGGAAGGAGTAGAGGGTGAGGATGCCTTGGGAGAGAGCTCTGTAGATGCAGCCCCTTTCCCTGAGACATGGGGAAAACTGAGAAGGTGTGGTCATCTCCCCCACCTCATTACTTGGCACTCCCCAGTATCTCCCCTGCAGCCAGTCAATTCTATCCAACCTTTGCAGGGAGATTCTTGATAACGATAGCCAGTATTTGCATAGCACTTTTTTAAGGCTTGCGCAGGATCTGAACCACATAGGATTAATGTCATTTTAGGGCACACTCCCCCCCTTCTACCTCTCACTGATCTAGCCTGTTGAGTTCTGCCTTCCAGGGCTCTGGAAAGGGAGGGGTTACTGGCTGGTGATAGGGCAGGCAGTACTCCCCACCCCCAGCCACAGTAGCCTGTGTCAGTTAATCTCCACCTAGGGGAGAGCGCGCCTGCCACTGCACAGCTGTCTCAGGCACCCCGATGGGGATGGGGAAGAATGGGGCTCATAGGGCCAGCATTCTTCAGATCTCCCCCCTCCCAAACTTAACAAGCAGAGATCACCTGGGGGCATGGGGAGGGAGCTGGTCAGGGACTTCAAACCTGCCAAAATTCAGGTCTCCTGGGAGTGGTGGAAAGTACCCTGGACGGAATCATCAGCAGGCTTGATTGCTGAGGCCTGGTTCTGATCCTCAACAGCTGTATAATTTAGGGCAATCCACTTTCCTTCCCTGGACCTCAGTTTCTTCCCCTGTAAAATGAGAGATTTGGACCAGATGGGACAACTTAGGTGGCTGCCCACAGCACTGATAGCCTCTCCCTTCTCCAGCTCTGCTCCTCAATCTCTCCCTCTCCCAGCTCTGGGCCTCTCCTCCAAGCAGACCTCCCTTCTTCTCATCCTGCATATATACAACACTCATTCCTGACTTGGCTGATGCCAACACCCACCCCCACCCTCCTTTCCTCTACTCCTATATGTCTAGCTCATTCCTAAAGGCCAGTTCAATGTCACCTCCTCCAGGAAGTCTTCCCTGCTTACCCCTGCCCTCAGGGCTCTTCCTTGCCCTTGAACCCCTGTAGCTGACAAAGCCACACCCCCGTCTGACTTAGCCTGCATTTCCTCTCTGTGCTAGCTATCATTCCGCATGTGTGTCTTGTCTCTCTAGCCAGAGCCGCAGTGATGACATCACAAATCTAAAGCTGGAAGCTATCTCAGAAACCTTCTAAATTAAGAAGCTTAGGTCCGGTGGGGTTTAGTGACTTATCCAAAGTCACGCAGATAGTAACTTCCTAGAGGTAGAATTTGAACTCGTGTCCTCTGACTCCTGTTATTTCCTACCTAGTGAATAGTGCTAAGCACATAGAGTAGGGGATCAGGAAATCCATATTGGATTGTGCTCCAATCCCTGGAGGAGAAATTAAGTGGCTCAGTAGGCGCCCTAGAAAGTATACCTCCTTTGTGCAACATCTATATCCTCAAACCTCAATGAAACCTAAAAAGGGTTAACCATGCAGCAGCTGAAGGGAGAAGGCGGGCTGGCGGGTGGGCCCTCTCCTCCCCCTCTCCGTCTGCAGCCCCCCTCAGCTGATGTGTATCGGTTACGGTCAGCTGTCCCTCCCCACGGCGGCCAGCGCCCATCCTGCCAGGCTGCTGAGGCGGGAAAGGCTACCTGGCCCTCTGCCCGCATGCCTGGCACTGAGGTGGCCAGGCCCTTAGCCCATCATCCTGGAGCAGCTGGCCAAAGGTGGCCAGGGAGAATGGTGTCGACAGTTACTGGAAGCCGCTGCCTGCCACCTGAGAGGGTCCGGAAAAGGCCTTCAGATCTTTTCCTGACCCACATGATGCCTTTATTTCCTCTACCACCACCCATCCCAATTAGACTGGAAGCTTCCAAAGACCAGGGACCATAATATTCAGACCTGTCTTCTGTGCTCCCAACACAGGCTAGGTGCCTACTAGGGATTCATTCAACTTGGTGTGAAGGAAAGAACACTGGACCTTTACTCAGGAGAGCCCTGGATTAGAACTTTTCTATAAAATGGGCATAATAAAATTCTGATATTGACTTTGTCTTAGGTAAATTGTGACTTAGAGAGAGTTGTTGTGCAAAGTGCTTTACAAACTTGAAAGAGAAATATGAATGAAATTTTTTGTAATAGCCAACAGTAACATTTCCATGATATTTAAGATATACAAAGTACACAATTAATAACAACCCTCTAAAGTATTACCATGCCCATTTTACATAGGAGGAAACTGAGGCTGAGAAGTCATGCTACCTGCCTTGAGTCACACAGATAGCAAGTGACAGACAGAATTAATCAATGATAGGTCCTTCTGACTCCAAAATCAGTATAAATATTTGTTGAATGAATGAATAAATAACAGTTATCTTCAAGCACGATAAAGATTTGGTATGAATAGGAGAAATGAGTTGTTCTCTGCATCCATGGAGAAGCAAAGAGGAAATTGTCTTAAAGCAGGGCAGATTGTGGTCAGGCACACAAGGAAGAACTTTGCTGGCACCTCGCATGGCTGGCAATGAGAGCCTCAAACATTGGAGGGATCAAGGGAAGGTCTTGTAATCTTCAACTCCAGAGATGTCAAAGAAGAAAACAGAGCTGATTTGCCCTTGAAAGCATAAATCAGGGACCACAAACCCAGGCCCTGGAGGCTGTGTTGGACTGTTTGATGGCCCATTATCCAGAATTTTGCTCCTTTGATCAGTTAAGTATGAAATTGAATGAATGCTTGAGGAAGGTAATCACAGATTTAATCAATAGTGGTGTGTTAGTGTTGTTGAATCATTTCAATTGTGTCCAACTCTTCCTGATCCCATTTTGGGATTTTTTGGGCAAAGATACTGGAGTGGTTTGCCATTCCTTCTTCAGCTCATTTTGCAGATGAGGAACTGAGACCAACAGGGTTAAATGACATGTCCAGGGTCACACAACTAGGAAGTATCTGAAGTTGGATTTGAACTCATGAAGATGAGTCTTCCTGATTCCAGACCCAGTGCTCTATCCATCTTGCCACCTAATTGACTTCAAAGTGTGTAGCTACAATTAAGAGTGCTCAGTGCCCCAAAGAGGGAAGGGTGAATGGGGTGGTTTTGTTCACCACCCCAGCTTCAGGAGGTACCTGTTCAGCCTTTTCAAGGCAGGCACTGTAAGAGCTATCACATGGGTCTTACCCAATGTTGGTTATGGCTTCCATGTCTGTGGCTACCTTTGCTCACTAAGGTTACTCCGTACCAACACCAACTCTGGATTAAGCTTGTGGTGTGATTGTTTGGCTGAACCGCAAGGCCCTACCTGCCACTTATATTGGAGATCACTGTTTGGGGAGCAGGGATTGTTGATCTTTCAAAAATTCTATGGCAAGTTGGGTTCTAGCACTGAATGATTGGGAGACAACACAGCACTGAACTTGGGTCCTGCCCAACTTATTTCTGAACACCCAAGGGGCCCAAACTCCAGGCTGCCACCTCTTCCTGAACCCCATCCAGAGAAGGGACCAACTCTTTTGAAGACCTAGCTCTGGGTTCCAGCCTTTGTGATTCATCCTCCGTTTCACCCACAGCATTCCCAACAGCCCAACCCTTCATCCCATCCCTGGGCCACATATATACACACACGAGCTAGGTTGAGATTTCACTCATTTTGACCAGAGGGTGAGAGGAATCTAGAGTTGTTTCCAATAAGGATGCAAACCAGGGGAATCCTGGAGCCAGCTCAAACTGGCTTCTGAGAGTCAATTGTTATATTTTCAAAGTATTTACACCTTGGAAATCATCAAACTACAAATCAGAGATCGATTTATTGCCTAGTTCGTTGTCTAGATTTAAGGAGGTTATAGTGAAAAATGTTAATAATGCAGATTAAACTTAAATGTATGTTCACTTTTTTTCCCCTCTGGAGAGCTGTTTGTTAAACATTTACCAGTACACCACTGCATCAGCCCATGTTTCTTAACACAGTCTCAGGTATTCAGGACACGCAGCCTCTGTTCCCACCTGGTTTCCATTTTACTACCTGCTCATTTGCCAAAAAACAAACAAGAAGATTATCTTACTTTGCCCCTTAGCCCATTCATTCATCTTTTTCTGGATATACCTGAAAACAGTCCAGTACAAACTTAATTCTGCCCCCATGCTTTATTAACACATCATCGCTCTCTCGTGGCAAGCTTTGGTACTGCAGGCTTCATAAGCTACCTTTTTTTTCTTTCTTTCTTTTTTTTTATTTTGGCTAGGCAATGGGGTTAAGTGACTTGCCAGGGTCACACAGCTAGTAAGTGTTATGTGTCTGAGGCTGGATTTGAACTCAGGTTCTCCTGAATCCAGGGCCAGTGCTCTATCCCCTGCACTACCTAGCTGTCCCTATAAGCCACCTTTTCTAAAAATAAGTGGTAAGCAAGCTGTGAACCTTCTTCTACTTCCCTCCACACTACCTGCCCCCCCCCACTCCCTGCACCTTCCTCAGGCTTCCAAGAAGGCATTGGAATAAAAAATGTGATGGCTCATTCTGATCAGTTAAAACAAGGAAAATCACTCCCTGCCCTCCCAAGAAGTGGGCTTCTGGGGATACTGGGAGCTCAGCTTTTTTTCCTTTTTTTTGGTGAGGCAGTTGGGGTTAAGTGACTTGCCCAGGGTCATACAACTAGTAAGTGTTAAGTGTCTGAGGTCAGATTTGAACTCAGGTCCTCCTGACTCCAAGGCCGGCGCTCTATCCATGAGCTCAGCTTTTAAGATGGCACCTGGAAACCTTCTCAGAGTCTCTGTTGGCCACTGCCCCTGTTCCTCATTCCCTTATTTAGTGTTCCTGACTCCAACTCTTTTGGACAACAGAGACTCCAACTCTTTTGGACAACAGAGAGGAAGATATTGTTTTGTTATTTGTTGCTGTTCAGTCATTTTCAGTCATGTCCTACTCTTCCTAGTTGGGTTTTCTTGGCAGAAATGCTAGAGTGGTCTGCCATTTCCCTCTCCAACTCATTTTATAGATGATGAAATGGAGGAAGAAAGGGTTAAGTGACTTGCCCAGGGTCACACAGGTAATAAGTGAGGCCAGATTTAAACTCAGAAAAATGAGTCTTCCTGACTCCAGGCCTGGAACCTTAACCACTGTGCCCCACTTTTTTATTTAACCCACCCCTATTTTACAGTTGAGGAAACTGAAGTCCTGAGATATTGTGCATTGCCCAGGGTCCCCAGAGCTAGTAAGAGGAAGAACTGAATTTCGAATCTAGGTCTTTCCCTTTTTCACCACTTCTCATTTTACAAGGGAGAAACCTGATTCAATTATTCATTAAAAGATTCATCTTGGCTGAGGTTCCAGGAGGAAGGGGATAGGTAAAGAAGTCATTGCCAGGAGGAAGAAGAGGGGACCTGATAAGGAAAATGAAAGACTGAAGACCAAAAATACCCATTTCATAGCTTTGCTTAGGGCAAGGTGAAGACCTCACAATATTGTTGTGAGGAAAGGGCTCTACGGATAACTGTAAAATATAACCTACATTCCCTCCCTCCCTAACTCTCTTGCATTTAATTATCATTTTTTGAATTTATTATCTATAAGCTTATATATGTTCTTGTTGATTCCCACTTTAGAATGTAAGCTCTTCGTGAACAGAGATTATTTCATTCATTGCATCTCTACTCTCGATAACCCAAGCCTTGGCATATAGTAGGTGCTTAATAAATGCTCATTGACTGATTGATAGAGATGTTAATTATATCATTTAACATTGTTTGGATAGTCTGAGCCATGGGTTGCCCATAGATAGAGTATTTTCCTCTCTGAGGCCAGTAATTACATGAGCTAATATGAACTCCTGCATTTCGTCATCATGGAACAATGGAAAGAGCAGTGAATGTGGAGCCAAAGGCTCTGGGTTAAGATCTCATACCTGCCATTTACCAGCTGTGGGACCTCTGACAATTGCTTAGCCTCTTGGGGTCTTAGTAGAATGAGTAAAATCTTTAAAATGAAGGAGTTGGACAAGATGGTCTTTGAGGTCTCTTCCAGCTGGGTAGCCATTGTGTGCTAGGCTTCGTACGATTTCCAGGATGTATAAACTGATCCTTTCCTTCAAGGAGCTCATAAAATGTAGGCACTTTGAGGGCAAAGATTATCCTTTTTGTCCTTATATCCCCGTATCAAACACTTTTTTTTTAAACTAGACTTCCTCCCGGTAAGGAAGACCCTCTACCAAAGTGGATCAATACCTTTTCTGCTATTTAATAGGTTTAGAGAAATTCACCTGAGACACAGAGGTTAAGCGACTTTCCCAGGGTCACATAGCCAGTATGTGCTAAAGAAAGGACTTGAACCCAAATCTTCTAAGCTCCTAGGCCTGCTCTCAATCCATTAAAGCAAAAAGTCTTCCAGCTGATACCTCCTAAATGCTTAATAAATGATTGTTGAATTAAATGAAATTGAATTGGATTTTAACCCCTTTCAGCCTCACCTTCCTCATTCATCAATTCAATGTCTATCAAGGACTTACTGTGTGTAGGATCCTCTTCTGGAGACAATATGTTAATTCCTTGCATTTGTATAGTGTCTGACAGTCTAGTAATATCATTGACAATAATGCACATTTATACAGTGCTTTATGGTTTATAAAATGCTTTCCATATCCATTATCCCATGGGAATCTCACAACAACCCTTGAGGGAGACAGGGCAAGAATTATTATTCCCATTTGGAAGATGCAGAAACCGAGGCCCGGACAGATGATGTGAGTTGCTCAACATCACCCAGCTAGAAAGTGATAATGCTAGGACCCAACCCTTGCA